CAGAGCCATAAGATTCAAATTCTACGGGGTGCGAGTAGCACTCTCGCTCAAAGTCGCGCTTTCCCCTGCGTGACCTGTAGTTTTTTACGCTACTTTTCCTCTCCCTCAAGGACGAGTCGACTTTCTCTCTTTCTCTCTTTTACTATCATACTCCAAACACACACACAAAATTACTAGTTTCTCCGTTCCTGCGCTGTATTTTAAAGATATTTTAAAATAGACGACTTTAGCGAGAATGCAGTGTTGCTGAATATTTAACTGGACAGCAAAACGAGAGTTTTTTGACATATCATCAGATTTGTACTCAGTAGTCAGCATGGATTCCGTTATTCAAGTATTTAGCGAAGTGGAGCAATAGCACGGCAAGGGTATCGAATGATCACATGTTCATGTTTTTTAACTTATTCACTAACACTTTTGTGTGTGTGTGTGTGTGTGTGTGTGTGTGTGTGTGTGTGTGTGTGTGTGTGTGTGTGTGCATGTGTATAAATACTATTATTGAATATGAAATTGCTTGATATAGTTACTAACCTGCCATAGGCATGTTGGATGATTCTTTGACTTCGCAGGAAGGAATTTTGACGGCTGATGTATCAACGTAGATCAAACGAAAATGAAAGGCCTATAATGGCCGTGTCTCTCGATAGCTGAGCGACTAAACTTAGTCACTCACTCACATGGCACGTGGTGTTATCGACATACCAGCAATATTTACGCGAAAAATGCTCAACAGTATGTGGACACAGAGAGTTACATATTCCACAACGACGATGTTCTGTACTGCTCACAGCTGTAAACGAAGGCGTCGTCGATCAGATGAGCGTGTATTTACATCGCAAAGACGAGAGAGAGACAGATATCGAGCGAGTAAACTTTATCGCGGCTCACGCCGTTCCTCTCTTCGTTCGATCAGAATCGCGGGCGCGTCCAAACTATCACGAGCACCGAAGGTTGTGGTTCGATCTCCGCGGACCCAAAGATCGATACTCGAAGCCTGCGCTACGCCGTGAGAACACGACCACCGACGAGAGACAAGCCTATTACTTCTGAATCTTCCGCCATTTTTCATTCGCGTTCTTTTTCTCCTAAGCTACGGGGGCAAGTGCGGTGCTGCCATCGCGTTCGTACTGTCACATTTTTTGTTCAGCAGCAAGCTCTTTTCGATAAACTCTCCTTTGCCATTCCTAAGTTAATGTCGTTTGTTCGATGAAAGCATATCGGATCGAACGCTGCTTTTTTTTTGTTTTTTCTTCGTTCCGCCTACATGCATTGCTTACCGAGTGACGCACGACAGCCGCACGTCTCCATACGCGGAGCTGAAAACTTTACAAAATTGAAATCAAGTTCCGAAGGCTTTTGTCTCGTAGCGTCACGTGTGATTTGTCGAGCGCGCTTCGCCAATGTGACTCTTGATTTTGTCGCACTCGGCGCGCAAAATCCGCGCGCGCGAGTTTATTGACAATCGAAAACGTATAATTTCGCTCCAGCGATGCTGCGAATGTTCAATTAGCTGCACTTCTACAACTGCGAGCTGTGATTCACTTGCCCAACTGTTAACCGTCCTAAAAATAAATTGAATCCGATCTCGCGTCAGTTCATTGCATAATGGCAATACGCGTAGCATCCGTTCAACAAAGCCGCGCACGTGTTTTTCTCGTCTGGAGTTAATTTTTCGTGGTCGCTTTTCCACGCGGGGCGCTCGAGATGTCTTTTTTTGCGCAACAACGTGAAATATGACAATGGCCAGAAAAGCGAAAAATGCGGCTAGTTCGCCCGCTGAAAATTTCATTGTCGCGCACTTCGCAGCTCGCATCCTCTACCTAGCCACCTACTTCTTTTTATAGCGGCGCTTGCACTCGAGTCTTTTGATGAAATTAAAAAATGGTGGATTACAACGAAAGGCGGAGAAGGTATTGGCAAATCCGTAGTGCGTGTAAATGGCAAACAGGCGGTATGGGCTTGCTTATATCGCTACTATGGATCGTACGCTATTTTTTGCTCAGTGAGGTCGAAATTAGCATGTTACCGACCGAGCCGCGGTCGGGAAATGCATTTTTTTGGGCGAAAATGATCGTTTTTTCAAGAGGCAAGCACATACACTCGTTCTCTAATTGCGTAATTTTACGAGCGAATCTTGTACGCTTCGGTTCAAGTTTTCGAGCATTCATTCGAACGGACTGCAGTGAAAATGCGCGCCTACGTCTGTCAGGGGAGATCTTGGAAGGAAACAGTGCTTCGTATCCGGCACAAAACAACGAACAAACAACATCAAGCGCGAAGTGGCGGCCCACTATGAGTGTCCGATAAACGCGAACGTAAAGCGAACGGAACGATGATAAACGAAACGAAAGTCAATACGTCGAATAGGAGCTAACGGGCAATATCATCAGTCAGCGATTGAAAAGAAGCGAAAAAAAGGCCGTTGCACGCTCGTTAAAAGGCGCAGAGCACTCGCGGCACGATTGGCCAACGACGGCGTCGACGAGTCGAAAATAGTCGCTTATCAGTCTGTGACAATGCGCAGGCAGCGGCGCCTGTAATAATAACAATAATCGTATGGAGTGCTCGCGAGGCTACGAATGTGCGCGCGCGAGAGAAGAGTCGAACCGGTCGCCGCAACCAAACGAAACACGTGAGAAACGAGCTTCTCTCCGTCTCTCTCGTTATCCTCTTCTCTTCTTCCGGCTGTGCAGGCCATGCTCGCGCGCGCTCGCCTTCGCTTGGGGAATAACGCAACGTGTCGTTCCTCGTGCTACCTTTGTTGTATTTGGGTTTACCCCCGCCCCCCTTTCGAGCTTCTTTTTTGCGCCTCTACCCCGTCGACGAAAGTCGCACGTTGGTCGTACGTTCGCGCCTCGACAGTAGCGAATCGCAAAGTTGAACCGCGCAAAGTCCACCCGGCGCTCTGCAGACACGGATAATCGTCTCCAAGAAAAGCCAACGGTTGACCTTCCGGGCTCTCGCTAATTACCCTATAAGCCTAGGAAGCAAGCGAATCCGTAGACGCGGTTACGCCGGCAAGTGCAAGAGGGAACAGCCGCTTAATTACAGTGTGACCAGAGCCCACAGTACGTTCGTATCGCTGGCGGATCAGCGGGTGTAATGCGAGCTAGCGGATAATCAATCGAACAGCGGCCATAAAGAAGCGCTAATCGGCCGGGAGACGGCACTTATCGCGGACGGCGAGTAGGAGAGCGGCGAACTCGGCGAAGTAATTGGCGACGGCCCGGGCGCAGGTGGCAACTGGCGGCGCAGAAGCGGCGCCGAAGCCAGGCCGGCCGCGGAGCCGCTCGCAACTGCGCGGCTCGCCGGCAGCGCGGAGTGCGCGACGTCGATTGACTCGCTCGATAGTCTCTCTCCTCTATGCAGGCTCGCGGCCGCGCGTTGAACAGGTGCCCGGTGGCCGCCAACTGGCGCGTTTTCCTCACCTGTTCAGCGGAGGACAGCGGCGGCGGCGGCGGCGGCGGCGACGGCGGCGACGGCGGCGACGACGACGACGACGACGACGACGACGACGACGACGACGACGACGACGCCGACGACGACGGCGGCGACGAGGAAGAAGACGACGACGACGACGACTACTACGAAGAGGCACGGCAGCAGAGGAAACACTAACATGCGCGCTGACAGAGCCAACAGCGCGACTAGCTGCCGCGCCAGAGACGGACAGCAGAAGGCAGCGCGCACGTGTTGTTGCCGCGGCTACGAAGCGTTCACTGCGTAGTTGGGGGGCACTGCTGGGCTCGCCGCCGCGCCGCTCTCAGAACTGCGCATGAGCTCTCCGGCTTGCGGCCGAGAAGCACGAGAGAGGGAGCCGCCGCCTCAGCCCCCACGAGGCCGCAACAAAGACAGCCGGAGCGGCGAGCGGCGAGCGGCGACGAGCGACGAACGGCGAACAGCTCTCGCTCTCCGCGACGTACGTGCTCGTGCCAACGTTCATCGACGTGCAGACAGGCCAAAAGTCCGTTTGTTTGTCTCGCGGCGACTGCTGCTGCCGCCGTCCCAGCTCTCGGCGGCGCTCTGCTCCTGCACGCTTCCCGCCCGCCGAGCTTCTGCCGCCGAGCTTGCGAGCAGCTCTCGCCAGGCAGAGAGCCTTCGATCGACCACGTGCCGACACTTTATCGCTCTGTGGCCAATGAGCCTCGATTGCCAGTGCAGCAGCGAATCGCACCAATCTGCGCTCTGCCAGCAAACGAATTTTCGCAGGCGCGCTCTCGCGCTTGTCCGCCGTTGTAGTCCGCGCCACATTTTCACCGAAACTCGCGGACCGAATCGCCCGGTCGAATTCTGTGCTGCACTTTCCGTTCAAGTGGCTTTCCAAGCTCCAATGTGCGCTTTACACCCTAAAAATGCCTTCAGCAAAAACAAACTTATCAGCGTTTCAATTTTCTTGGCTACTTATGGCGACCACAATAACTGCTATCTTTCTTCTTTTGCTTCTCCAATATACAGATACTCGTATTATGCTCTTCTTTGCAGTATCGAGTCGTCTGGTTTTCAATTTCCAAGCTTTGGCAGTTTCGCCAAAATGCTTTCAACACAAAGATCTTTATATTAAATGCGATTGACTCGATCTCTAATCGACTGGAATATTTATTTAAAAGTGTTTTTACCGAATCGTAAGACCGTTTATAGTTTTACTGTAAACGGCGTATGCGATAAGAACAAGTTTTGATGGTATTTTACAATAACAATCTTTATAATCTACAGTAATATCATCTTTCTAATTCATGAATTGTCGATTAGTACCCAATGTTTTTATTCATTGCATCACTATTGCTATAGTGTCAATCCATTTCCGTGAAGAAAAATACGCTCCGATCCACTGTTCGTCCAGAAGTCAAGATTTGTTTTGAATAGGTAATATGGACAAAAACACCATAGCGCTATATGACGCAAATTCATAATAGTTATCATATGAGCGTCGGTAGGGCGCATTTTAAGACGACAATAATTTATTCAAGCTTAAATAAGTACACGGTATCAAAGTATTTGATTTCACTTTGCTACAAAAATGATTTTTGATACGACATTGACCTGTTAATAACTCGAAAAGCGCAAATATTTTGAAGCTTGTATTAACGAGTATTCATGCCGAAGCTCTTTATATAGCAGTGACGTTCTCGGTTTTTCCACGAAAAGCGATTCCGAATACTTTATCTTTGCACGTTTTTTTTTCTGTAAACAGCGTCATGAAAAAGTACGTTATCGACGTTATGGCTATGTAATACACCGCCCGCTCTTAAGAGAAAAGCGGCTTGCACCTGAAAAATGAAAGTTACTTGAAAATCCTGCGAGCTCTGTTTCAACAGTACCTCGATGCAATGCACACGAAGATGGCAATGGAAAAGCTCAACAGTGTATGACTGAAAAACCACGTCTAGCATAGCGACGTCACAAACGATGCTCACATATACATCAAAGAGAACAGATAAGAATAACAGCTGAAAAAAAAGGAGCGGCAGCAACAAGAAGTCGATGCAAAGGCGTAAGTAAGCAAAAGTAAGTTGTCGAAGTTGCGAGATGCGTAGAGCAAATGACGGACCGGCAGAAGGGAGCCTCGGTATTCGAAATAGAAAATCAGAAAAGGAGCGGGAGGGATGCGCCAGCGTGTGCGCGAGTTGCAAGCAGAGCGCAAGAGTACGTACGCGTGGCGGCTGGGCAGACTTCGAGCGAAGAGCGCCCACATGCATGCAATATCGAAAACTACGCGTGGGGGCGCCGCGAGAAAGCAGAGCTGCTGCGCGCCAGCGGATTACGTATTGTGTACATATTTGCACCGCGCTGCGCGCGACAGACATACTCGCTCGCTCTTTTTTCATTTTCAAATTATACCGGAGAGAAAGAGTCTATTCCGCAAATATTTGCCTTTCACTCGTTTCTCTGGCTAAATTATTTAACGGATTACGTACCGGGAATCGCGCTATTTTTATATACTCTGCTAATTACTCGCCGCGAACTCGACCAATTTCATCGAGTCGATTATCCACTGCTGCAAAGCTAATTAGTCTTGTAAGCGACAATCCACATTATCACGCTGACTAAATTGCAGCTCGCACGTGAGATTTCAGTGAGGCCGAATCTATCTGAGTTGCGAAAATGCGACGCGCGAGTCTGCAGCGGAATCGAATAACTGGCAAAGCCGAAGAGCTGCCGGCACAACTGTTCGTCCAGCTATATAAGTGCATGACTCGCGAGAGAAAGAGAGAGAAAAAGAGACAGAGAGAGAATGTATGTCCGTGCAGACGGAGACGCTGGCCCCCTGGACGTGTTCTTCCGCGTCTGCATACGATGAAACGAGCAGTGCAGGGGAGCGAACGAGAGAAATGAGAATGCCGCGCGCGAGGCAACGAGCAGCCACTGCAAGGACGATGACAAAAGAAACGAATGCGACAGATTGCTAGTCTGCCAGGAGGGACTACGCGAGTAAATAAATAAACTCAGCCTGTGCGAATTTGTATCTGGCCTACTTCGTAATCGTAAAAGTGGGTTACGGCATTGCTACCGTTATTACCAAAAAATATTTAGTCCTTTGTTTCTCTCCTCTCTCTCTCTCTCTCTCTCTCTCTCCCTCTCTCGTAAAAAAACTCTCGAACAATGCCGCAGATTCGAAATTGACGCGCGAAAGCGCTATTCAAAGTCGCTGTGTCACGGGAGGGTTTACTTAACGGTTCGCCAATTTTTGAGCTACTTAGCCAGTCGCACGCGCCACTGAAAAAGATAAACGACCAGTTTATACCACAAGATGTTCAATTGATTTCTAGAATCTTCAGTTAACCTATCTGTTTGCGAATGGAAAATGGATACTATGCTTCTTTTGATTACACAAGAGAATGGTACTTTATTAATCATACTGCGCTCTTTTCTTCGCAAATATCTGCATTTTCGTTCTACCCAAAAATAAAAAAAAAATATGCTAGAGTTGATATTCGTGCCGAATGAAAAGCATAGAAGTGAAATTTTACCCGAGCAGAGCAAATTTTTCATCGGGGCAGATAGAGAAAGACTGTCTACAATAGAAAAGAATTTCGCCGCTCCCACGAGAGAAAAAGAGATACGTACTATCCGCTCAATTAGGCTTGTTTGATTCTTATCGTTCTTCCAATAAACTTATTTCAAAAGCTGACACACAACTTGCGATTATCCGGCATCTGAGCCCACATTTTCGATTGAATTTACAGTACACGAGATGAAATAGATGCTGGACAAGTGGAAAAAGAAGGGAAAAGCGGGTTTTGGAAATAGAAATCAGGAAGATATGTAGAAAGACAAAGAGCTCTCATTGCACGGTTATTTCGCGGTCGAAGTTGAGGCCCTTCATACATCAACGGGTGCACGGCTGCAAGTGGAATTAAAAAGTAAAGCCGCCAAGAGAGACGGAGCGAGAAATATCACTGCTCCTTAGACTCGCCCGCGCACGCAAACAGAGAACATTTCTCTCTCTCTCTCTCTCTCTCTCTCTCTCTTGCTCGCTTTTCCAGGAAATTCTAGCGACTGTCCAGCCTGGGGCTTTGATACCCGCGTGCAGAAAACCCTGGCGTTTTATCCTCGCCTTTCTTCCTGCTTTTCGCTTGTTCGTCGTCCTCTTCGTTATGATTTGAAAAGGCTTCTCTCTCGTTTACAAGAACCACCTCGCAATTGAATTCGTCGCGCGCATTACGTTATTACGCTGCATTGAGCAATTTTTTTGCGCTTGTCCACTCTTCCGCCCCGCCAGGATGCATTCTTTTTCTCGGATCCGGAGCAAGCTGATGAAACAAGTCTCAGTGTGCGCATCTCTCTTTTTCACGAGTTTCTACATTTCTTTTTTGTTGTTCAGCGAGTTAAGTACTTTGCCAGACTTCTCCTCTTGCGCTCAAAGATTTCACGTGTTAGTTTTTTCAAGTACGCTTTGCTGACCTTGCTCTGTTAATTCTGTCATCGTAAATGTCCAAATTATTTCACATCTTTACAGTCAGTGTCAAACCTTCAAACCACTTTATTAATTGAAGACTTGGCGACTACGGAAAATCCCAAACGCAATTATAAATGATTAAAGGTTTGAACCCCACTGTAAAAAGCTCAAGTTACATTTCATTCTATACATGATCGAAATTACAATTTAAAGTAATTCATTGTTCATCATTCGCTGGAATATGACTTACTTTTATTGATAAAGGTTGAGAAAGAAAAACTATTGCATACGAGAAATAGCAGGTAACAGTTACATTGTCAAAGTGTGATGGTGTAGAAAAGCGCAAGAGAGTTGACTCACCATGCTGATGTGGCGCTGAAAAGGCGGAGTGCCGCCGAGGAGACATGTTCGAGTGGTTCTGCGAGCCGGGCGGCTGCATAGATGAAAGCGCGCCGAGTGGAGTGTAAGATTTGCACGGCTGTTCCTTCTAAAAAAAAGTAGCCAACCGTCTCGTTAGCAGCTCGTCACCCTCAATTTTTTTTATTTAAATTATACGCCCAAAACGATGTCATTTGATTTTTTACGCTACCCACTCGTATATGACTGCTTAACTATAGTTATTGCAGGTTTGACGATAAAAAAGGAAAATTGCTTGAAACTTCTAAAGCATACCAGTGTTGTGATATATTTAATCTGTTTATGACTGACATATCATGTGTTTAAAATTTCTGAATATTATTCTTCTATTTATAATTCGTTTCGCAATATATATTAATTTGTAAGAATTTGGTCGAGTTTGATACACAGTACGTGTAGATCACATTTTTTTATATTCACATGTAATAAAAATCGTCTTAAAATGGAATCGATTTCTATAGAGTTTGCTCAAGCAGACGAGATTAAATATTCCAATACATATTAATTTTATAAGACGCGAAAATATAATTTTGTTTTTAGTTTATCAACATGTTGAATCCATTTAATCGAGACAAACATACTTTATGTATTCCATGTTAGATTTTATTTCATGTAAATGTATTGAAAGATAAAGGCTTTAACTTTTTATATCAAGAATACAATTTATCAAACTGTCATGCAATGCAATAGAATAAATATTTGCAAATTCGTGTTCAAAGTTTTAATTAACAAAAAGATTTATTAGGTCAGTCACATTATTTTACGGACCAACAGAATGGGAGCAGAATGAGAAACGCAGGCAATCGTAAAAGTTGGTTAAAGGGCAGTAACTCGTAAAACGAGCAAGAGTTGTAGGTTAAGCTAAAGTGTAGGAATTAAATAGTAATTATATACCTGATCGTGGAGCTCCGTAGCGACGGCTGTCGCAGCAGTTTGCGTGTGGCTGGTCGAACTGATTCTGTATTGGAGTCCAGCGATACTGCAGTACTCTTCTCGATGAGTCGACCGGGTTTGATTGACGTAGACACCTTTAACAAATCAATTCGTGTTTGTTTAATTGGATTTAAATACGACCTTTCAATTCAATCAGTCCTAATTGGTTGTTCATGCATTTTTATTTGCATTATTACTGTTGAAAGGTACGCCAAATTTGAAAAGATTCCTCTAGATATTTCTAACACGTTATAAAAGAAATTTAATATTCGAATTTCAAATGTTTTAAAAACCATATAATTTGAACAATATCGATTCATGAAAAGTATTTTCACATTGTAATATTTACGCTTAAGACACAGTGGATATCGCAATAATTTTATTATCAACGTATAAACAGCACTGAATACATCCTGATTCGGTTGTATTAGCAATAAATTTTAATGTTATAAATTAAATTTAAGTTACAATGATATTATTACCACGTAAGCTTATTACTAAAGAACACATGCGTCACATGAATTATTCATATGTCAATAAAAGAGTGATTTGAATTAAACAGCTTTTTACACGTAGAATTTATTTCAAAACCCATTTTGAGATGAAGAATGTGCTAAATGTGAATAATAAGATGATGTATATTTCCCCAACAATTATTTACAGGTGCATAGAAAACATGAAATAAAAGTATTTGGAAGAAACTGAAAGCTCACCTGTGATGGTAACATCAGTGTCCTGATTAACGATGACGACCTTCTTCGAGGGCTTGACTAGGTCGTCAGCGTCAGAGCCCGTTTGCCGTCCTTTTCTCTTATCCAATTCCGAGTCACTCTGCCGTCTCCTTTTGATAAATTCAACATCGGACTCGCTACTGGACGAGGAGTCGCTACTTGTGCCTAATCGGTTCTTTTCGTCGGAGTATGAGGCGGCAAGAATGGCCGAGGCGTTAAGACTGGCCATACGTTTGCACACCACCATATCCTTAAGATCCATCACCTCCTGGTTCTTCTTACGGCGCTTCTGCTTGGGTTTCCTTATCACCACCTGTCCGTCCTTATCCTCCTTACGCAATTCTTCTTCCTGTAGTTTGCGTTCTTTGACCCTTTCCAGCCTCTCTCGCTCTTTTTCCTTCCTCTTGCGCTCCTTGGCGCGTTCTTTTCTCAGTTCAACGTCCTCCTCCTCCGAGGAGGTAGCAGACGACGACGATCCCATACCTCGCAGAACATCGTAGTGTTTGCCCCTTAGTCCTGGTACGTTTCTAAGCTTGCGCTTGGACAGTGCGTCTTCTTCTTTGCAGACTTTCGGTTTCTTTTCCTTTTTAGGCTCCTTAGGTTCTTTCGCTTCCTTCGTGTCCTTTGATTCTTTGGATTCTTTGGACTCCTTGGAATCCTTGGAATCTTTTGCGTCTTTAGGCTCCTTCGAGTCCTTGTCCTCCTTCTCCTTCTTAGGCTGCTGTTTCGTAGCGTCCTTCTCGGGCTTGGGCTTGCAGAAGCCACCGAGGTAGACTCCACCGTTCTCATTCTCGTAGAGACAGTGCACCTTGGCGAGGGCGTTCAGCGACGCGACACGGTGCCTTTTGGGTCCACTCCAGAAGCCAAAGAGCTTCATGCGATTGGTCATTGCGCGCTCCTCGCTGGGCGTCCTCTCTCTAGCTGTCCCCCGCCTCGATCTGCTTCTACGCGCGTTGTACTCCTCGTCGCTTGACTCTGACTCGGAACTCGTCGCCTCACTATCCCCATTCATAGCCTCCGCCTTCACTTTACCTATCGCCGGCTCTTCCTTGGGCGTCAGATTGTTCACTGGATTGCGCACCAGGTTGTCGTTTTGCTGCTGCTGTTGCGATTGCTGTTGCTGCTGTTGTTGATGCTGTTGATGTTTAGGGGAACGTTTGGCCGAAGCTTTTTTAGCGCTGGCTTTAGACTTGGGCTGCTTTTTCGCGGGCAACGCGGGTGGTGTTGGCTCATCCTCGATCAGCTCCTTCTTGATGTGGTCCGTGTTGACGAGCTCCGACTGTTCTTTTTCTTTGCTCGCCGCTTCTTTCTTCTTGGCTAGTGGACTATTGCCATGACTGCTCTTCAGCTTGTTCTCGGCTTCTTTCTTGAGCGGTGCTGCTGCCGGTGGCTGCTTCTTCTCAGACTGCTGTTGCTGTTGTTTCGGCTGCTTCTGTGCCTTTAGTTTCTCCTCGGCAGCGAACTTCTTGATGAGCATTTTCTTGCCCTTGGCCAGGAAAGAGGTTGGTGGTGATTTTTTCGACGGGTGATGGTGCTGATTGTTGTGATAATGTTGATATGCCCTGGAGTCCAAAAATGTTAAGGATTATTCATAAGCTTAGAACAATAATTCATGTTATTTTTAATTCTAAAATCTCGAAAAAAATGTTGTCTTGTGCGAAAGATAATTTAATTTCAAGTAAATTCTCTTGTTAAATAAAGAATAGTATTTGTCTCGAGAATATTTTTTTGTAATAAGTATACTTTTTAGCGTAAGTGTATGTAGTATAGTAATGATGGTCTCCTTGTTGCAAATGACAAAAAAACTTACGACTTTAAAATAGAAAGTTATTTCAGGCTAAGAAAAATTTCATTTTTAATAGAAGATATTTACTAGAAAAATCATGAGCACTCAGCAAGAAAGAAGAGGACTATAAAATATAAAGTGGAAATTTTGCCAGATTAATAAATGTGAACCATACTTTGTTTACCTAATAGCTTGATACATGACTAATTCAAATGTTATTCGAATCTAATAAGATTTTTATTTCATATAAAATGTGACTTATCATTTTCATAAGGAAAACAAATACGAAATTGAAATCACGTAGGTTTATTTTACCAGATATTTAACGAACGATGAAAATATTTTTCACTTTTTAATTTGACAGTCGTCGAACACTTCAAACACGACATTATATCTCGATTACAAGTAATTATGCAAAGGTCACAAGCAGAAGTTGAAGTAAGAAAGTTGCAGAGCTCGTAAAGTGAACGATCAGGGTGGAAAGAAGAACGCACCTCGGATGGTGAGGCGGAGAGGATGCGGCCTCGGTCTCGGACTTGTTGACTAGCTTCGGTTTGAGGGGCTTCTTGGCGATGGCGCTGGGCTTCTTGGCGGCGAGGACCGTCCTCTTGGGCGGGCTGGGCTTCTTGGGCTGCTTGGACTGGTGCTGCTTGCCAATGTCTTTGGCCGCAGGCTCGTGCGCGCCGCGCTTGTGCTCGTCCTTGATTCTCTTCTTGACGGGCAACGCGTAGGTGGCGGCGAGCGGCAGCTTCAGCTGCTGCTCGTCCAGCGAGCCGCTGAGCCCGTTGAGCGGCGCCTTCTTACCGCGGTCGAGCTGCTGCTGTTGTTGCTGCTGCTGGTGCTGCTGCTGCTGCTGCTGCTGCAGTTGCTGCTGCTGGTGCTGCTGCTGTTGCTGCTGCTGCTCGTCGCCTGCGTCGCTCGGCGGTTGCTCCGCGGCCATCTGCACTGCCGCGAGCAGCCTCTTTTTCTTGGGCTCGGATCGCGGCTGCTTCGGTTCGTCTTTCTTGGCCGCGGCGAGCGCCGCCGTGGTCGCTGCCACCGTCGCCGCCGCAGCCGCCGTGGTCGCCAGCCGCTGCTTCTTGGCCAGCTCGGCCGCGCTGCTCGCCGTCGTGGCGCTCGCCACCGCGGGCCACTTGTCGACGGAGGCGCGGCGCTTCTTCGCCACCGCTACCGGCAGCTTGCTGGCGGCCTTGCGGCTGGCTGCTGCCGCCTTCTTCTGCGGCTTCATCCCTGGCAAGCGCGCCCCTTGCTGTCCTCTGCTTCTATCGTCTTTCGGTCGCTCTCTCTCTGGCACTCTGGGACTCTCGGCCTGGCGCTCTGCGCTTCACATCGTTCCGGCTGCCGTCGACTGACCTCGCTCCCAACTCTTGCCGGCTGGACAACACTACCTCACCGCCATTTTCGTGTGCCGGCCCACTGCAATCGCTTGCAGCGGCTATCCTTAGCTTCGCATCCGGATAAGTGTTTCTGAAACAGACGACAAACCAAATTGTTATTATCAGTGGTCATATCGTCGCTTGTTATTTGGTCTTTCTCGATGACATTCGAGCATAGAGCAAGAGGACAAAGCATGCCACGCGCGGTCATCAGTGCGATAATTGACTTCGGAATGGCGACACTCATTTAGCATTCTGTCTGCAAGTGACGAGGAAATGAATAAGTTTGTCGTTCCAATCTAATGGCATCATTTGTCTACTCCGAACTAATTCTTCAACACAGTAAATTGAGACGACAAATTACTGTACTGGCTATTCCAAGAGAAATGCGCAATGTTTCTAGTGTCCCGCACGATGAAATTCGGAGTCGGTCTTTAAATAAATAAAATATGATATTTTTGGATGCCAAGGAAAAATCTGGTGTTTCAAAACGGCATTGAGATAAAGCCAAAAGCGCCACGGCGGTATTGACTGCTAACGAGCATTTCTAATTAAACACGAATTAAAACGAGCCTAGCGTTTTTCAACTTTTCTCGCAAAAGCCGTTGGCCCTACTCTGGCGATAAGAGGAGACTCTCTTTCACTTGAGTTTATGATGTATATCATACTCACTCCGCGAAAGCCTTCAGCAAAGTGTAGAAGAAAGTAACAAATGACTGCCAACCGACCTGAAAAACGTTGTTTATTTCGAGGTCGCGTAATTTTTTTGCGCGATACAGAGATAAAAAAAAATACGTGAAAAAACTTGATTTAGCTCGTAAAATATGAGCATAAGCCGACAGGAAAAGTGCGCTCCCGAGAGCGGACAATGCATTGCAGTGTGATCTTTTATGCACCAGCACTAAAATTTAAATTCGAGAATACTCCAATTTTCGCGCGTATACCCACATAAACCTGCCTATCTGTGCGCGCCAGCGACGTGGCAGCTACTGAGATTTTAACTATTGCATAATCTTCCTCTCCTGTTTTCTCATTAATTTTCATAAATACATTGACAAAATAGTACTCTTATAATAAGAGCACAGTAATTTTGAACAAATCTTACTGTGATACACAGAAATCCGCTCGTAATGACAAGACTCATCTGGCGACAAGAGCCATTCGGTCTGAGATCACTTTCATAAGAAAATTTCGCGGCAAGAGGAATTCTGTTGCAAGGGGGGTTTCTTTTAGTGTACTCTAACTATCTTTGTAACCAAGTTTCACAAAAATCAATATTTATTCCCGACAAATTTCAAATAAAAAACAAGGACAAGTGAATGTTCACGGCTTTGTCTAACAAAATATGTGTTTTCTTTATTTCCAATCTTTTTAACTTTGCAGTAATCCTCGTGCATTACAAATTCAATTACGAACGTTGCGACAAAAATGTCTTCGATTCTTGTTATTTCATTAAAAGTATATGCTTGAAATGGTGTTTCCGCGTAAACATAATTCAAAGTTTAATAATAAAACAATGTGTAAAGTAACAAACGAAACGATTTGAAGAAAGTCTGAAAACAAAATACTTAAAATTCATCTTTTAAAGAGAATTTCTTGTATTATAGGAAGAATCAGTGGAAATAGCAAAGAAAAACTTTTTTTACAAAAGAGTCACTTCTTGTTTCAAGATAATAGGTTGGGATGACCGCGCTCTCTTGCAATGTGAAGGCCATTTTTTTTCAACGACACATTTATTTCAGGAATCTTTTCTAAAATATTTATCAATGTAAGATACGCGAAGATTCGTTATAATAATCTTTGATTAGGCTAATAAGTAGAGCATTCTTTTGCATAGCTCGAATATGCTCACATCAAAATGGATCAAAGTTTGGACAAAAGTCTTTTTCCTTGAGTCAAAATGGACAGGTTAAGTTAAATTGATCTACCTGCATGAATAAAAAAATTGCTTTCAAGATAGAAAGTAACCTTTACTTTCGGTTACTGTATCCGAGTTACTCGTTAAAACCAATAAACAGCGCTTTGAAGAAATGACATTTCACAACCAAGGAGCTGTGGAGATTGTAGACACGAGTCACGCGAAGAAGGGATCGATGCGACAGGACTACACGTCTCATAATAATTATAAATAAGACTTGAAACAAGAACGTTATTCGTAGCGATTGACGACTTGACGCAAGGGCCGCTCGATCACTCAATCAATGTTGCCCAGAGGGTAGCGATTTAATGAATTGCGAAGAATTCTACGAGCGATGTATTGGCTTAATGAGAACATAAAAGATTGAGCAAAGAAAAGTAGCCGACGGGACGGGAATGTATATTTTGTGCGTCCGTGGCCGCCAACAAGAGCTGCAACTAGGTATAGCGTTCGGTTGCGCGAGGGCCTCAGAAGAACAATCCATTCGACGTGGAGCCGAAAGGAGCGCAGCCGGAAAGTACAATGGCGCTGCGCGCGTAGCTATTATCGCGAAACTCGAAACAGTAACTAATTTTTTTGACGCCGAGGGGACAGCTCCGGCGCCGGCTCTGCTGGGCAAGCACATATCTAAGTGCGCTGATGTCGCAACAATCGACCCTTCGGCGGCTAACGATCGCAATTATTGGGTCGGCACGCAGAGAGGAGAGATGCAGCAAGTCAATATTGCACTTGATCGCTCGAGCACATACACACGTGAATAATTAGCGAGACCTCGTAGCGAGGATCGATTTTCCGCGGGTATTGTCCAGGCGATTAAATCGCGCGAGAAGGCGAGCGCCGTTAGAAGCGCGGCGAGACACGCGGAAGGCGCGATACTGCCGGGAAGGAGATCGGCGCGCGCCGCCGGCCGATGAGCTTGCTACACGGCCGCGCGGCGCGGAGCCTGACAAAAAGTCGGCTTGCGCCAATTGGCAGGTCAGACTGCTGGAGGGCCAAGCGAAGGGTCCGCGTGCCAGGCGATCGCTTTTTCTTCCATCGCAGTCTTAGTCTCTGGCGGCTACTTTGTCGCGGTACCGAGGCCGCTCGTCCCGAAAGCGATCGTGTTCCGTTACAACGCCCAACTGCGAACAGTCGCTCGAAGTGTTCGTAAGTAATGCGTGCGATGCGTGCTAAGAGCTCCAGTCTGGAGCAGATGCCTGCGTGTGGGCCGTCCCAGGCCATAAAAATGGCTTCGATACACTTCGGAGCTGCAAGGACAATAAAGGGCTTCTCGCTTTGTTTTGAACTTCAATTACTTAAAAAAAAAAAAAAAAAAAAAAAAAAAAAAGCGGCAGAGCGCTGTAATTTCAGGTTGTTTGCACTGCGCTCAAATACACGCCGCGAGTAGCGCACTGCAATAAAAAGTCTTTTCTTTTCTGTCCCGTCGCTTTCTCTCGCCGCGAAACTCGCCTAAGTTTCACGTTGCGAAAAATCCTTTAGGGCACCGTATGGACGCAGCACACCAAAACTTTCCATGCCTTATGCACTCCATTTGCTCGTTTATTGCTTATATTTAATAACTTTTCCTTAACTTATGCGAAAAGAAGGTCGAAACAACTTCCTTGCAAAGTACTTCCCTCCTCCACGTCCCCCCTCCCCAGCTCAACCAAGCCGAGAGAGAATTTCTTCATCAAATTTCCGTTAAAAATTTTTACGCTTGTAATTCGCTGCCGAGGAAAACTTCACTCGAGCAGTATACTTTTGCATTGTCTTGGAGGAACAAAGTGCGCCAATTATTGCAGCAAGGGCTGTTTGCCAGAAAGATTTGTTGCGCGTGGCCGATGCAGTTTAACGAGTTTATTTCATTCCACTTAGTTCGCGCTAATTATTTGACTACCGAACCGAGTTCCGTCCGCAATGAGAGCACGGATTTTTCACGCGAAGAATAATTTAAACGTTCGAGTCTACCTTACAATAATGTCATTGTATAATTAAAGCGTAAGTCGCGAGCGCGTCGTGAGACTTTTCGGGATTACGGTACGTAAGGTTTCAAGACCGAAATTTCGTAGACCGGCTTCTTTTTTTCCAAATGACTTTATTTCGTAATAACGAGCGCGCGCGCGCGACCTTCTTTCTTTCCACTTGTAGTCGAGAGTTAATTTTCTTGGTCGACGACGAATTCTTGGGTTTACTCTCTGCACTCGTTTGAGTTTTCCAAAACAAAGACCTGGGTCTAATTGCGCGAGAACTGAAACATTAGTCACTTAAAGAATCGTAACCATATACAGATGGAACGAAGCTCGATTATATCAATATGGACGTATCACGCGGGTTCTACTTGGGAAAGTAATCAGGCGCGATCGATAAAGATAGCGGAGTTTATAAAGCACTCATTACTAAATACATATCCAGCAATGCTCGATTCTCATCCGGTTTCATCGGTACAAAAGGGGCGTAATCGCGTTGAATTAGACATCATATTGACACGGGGAAAAAGGAAAAGGGGAGCAGGGACAAAAACACCGAACTGTAAATCACTTAAACGCGCTGTTCATTAAAAAGGATGATAAAGGAGCTCGCGCGCACGAAAATACAAGTCCCCCGCAGAGCGAGAAAGACCGGCGTAGAGTCGCGTATGAATAATTTGAGAGAGGGAGAGAGAGAGAGAACGAGAATGGGTGCGCGCGGTCGAAGGAAAAAATCAAGAGAGAGAGAGAGTCGAAAAAGGATTTGACAGTAGTTTACGAGACGTTAATTTCCACGATATTTTCAATTGGGATGTACATGATCACGGTCAAATGCGCCTACGAGATATTTTGCAATTGAAGCGCTTTCAAATGTGACGCGCTTTAGCGGAGGTATGCAAACAAAATTGAAAACTTTCATGCGAGCTATTACGCGAGCTCGAAAAGCTGCTCTTTTTTGGTCGCTGGAAAGTCGCTGATGCGATTTCCAAATTTGCCAGTAAAAATCAAGCTGCACAGCTGCAGCACCAGGCCGGCATGAATAAATTTTGGCGATTTCAGTTAGGGAATTATCAAGGTACTGCGCATGAATTTAATCGAGGCCTGAATTTATTAGCGAAGCGCCGTTCGTTTCGGGCTCCCCGCTATCGGATTTTTTTTCATTGCCGAACGTGTCCTAAACTTCTAGAATTCCATAGCATTAAATAAATCCCTTCGTCAGTTCTTTTACATTCGAAGAACATCAAGCCATTACTGCGCGCCTTGTTACGCGTATAATAGTATCGTGGTAGGAAAATAGCCTAAAGAATCGTTATACAGGTGTGCTTTGCGCACGATTGCGGCACTTTTTTTACGTGACTTTATTACGACGTCGCGCGATTGGCTTTTGCAAATTCAACGTTTGCGCGAAGAGCAGCATGGCTCGTCAGAAAAAACGAATCGACTTTACGTACTTTCATTCTTTATTTACATCCAGCAAGCCGACGCAATTTGTACGCTTCCGAATATTTAATATCGCCCTATCATAGCTTTACCACGAGACACTGGCAATAACTTGCGCGCGGAATTTTCTTCTCGCGGCACACGCAAATATTTGCACTTTGGCGTTTTCCATCACGTCAGGCTTTTTTCTTTTCGTCCGCGGCTAGTGAAGCGGACGGTCGTCCTCCATTTATTTTCCGAATAACGTTGCGATGGCAGAGGAGGCGAATCGAGCACAAGGGGGCGAATATGAAAAGTTCAAGCGAGTTAAGCGATCGCCGCCACGAATAAATCTGCATACAACGCGTGCTCTCTTGCTTACGACTGAGTGATGTTAACAAGTGATTCGACGGTATTCCGCGTAATTCGATACAAAGCTTCGTCGGGAGCGTGCGTGAATTTAATTTTAATCAGCTACGGTAGCATCGCTGCGTTAAATCCTCGATTAAACGCCGCGCTGGTGTTCGTTCGCAGGCGCGCACGCCGTGGCAGACAACGCGCGAATTTACGAATTCCTAGCCCGCAAGCGCCTTTTTCAAAGGCTCCACTGCAACGTGCTGCATGCGCGCGCAAGTCACTCAACAACGAAGGTTGCATCGTCGATGTCGGCGTGCAGAATAAAAAGCTCACCGACGCGGCCGCGGCGGCTCAACCAAAGTCGAAGCGGCGCTCAATTGAGCCATCAGCGCGCGAGATGCTAATTAATCCTCGACGAACGGGAGCGTTGGAGCAGCCTAGCACGCGCAGCAGCGTTCGGCTCGATAAGGCGGCGAGCTACGTGAGTTTCTCGTCGCCGACGGCGGCGCGTCCCTTTCGGCCCTCCGCTCTTGCCGAGAGAGAGAGCGAGAGAGAGAGAGAGAGAAAGAGAGAGAGAGAGTTTCCCTTCGCCGGCAAACGCGCGAGACTGAAGCTGAGGCCTGAAGCGCGAGGGGAAGAGGGGGGTGGGCGGGCGGCGGCGGCAGCGGCTGGGCCGATCGATTTCCTTCGACTTGCCTCCTTGGTGGCTTGCTCTGCCGCCGCGCACGAGAGATTGCACGGGGAAACTATGCCTGCTCCTCGAGCAAACGAGCCAGCGACTGCAGGCGCTAACCTACAAAAAAGGGAACGGACGGAGAAATCGCTGCATTGAGCGTGAGCTGCGACGTGGCTGCTTGCACTGCAGCACAACTCTCCGTTATGCACGCGTGCACGAACAAAAAAAGGGAGCATGAGGAGGAGGCGTGCGTGCCTATCTGCGTACGTCTGCTCCGCTCTATGTTGCGTGCACAGGTATATACATGATTGTGTGTGCTGCGATCTCACGCTCTGTGTGTTTACCTTGCTTCGCGTTTCCACTCCAAATCGTAGTGTCTGCTTGACGGCTCCTTATCGCAGACGACGACGACGACGACCAGCACTGCACCACTTCGACAGATTATTTATATACGCGCACTCGAGGCGCAGCAGCAGTAGCAGTAGCCAGCAGCAGCACGCGGCCACTCATACATGTAGCACACACACGCGCACACTCTACGGCACACGTATGTACACAAAGCACGAGCACACTTATTTTCTTTTATTCGCTACATTTGCAGTGTCGCGGCGAACGTAGTAGTATACACACAATGAGTTGTTGCTCTCTCTCTCTCTGTTGTTTCTTTTTCTCTCCCGTAGTGCAGAGATCGGCAAACGAGACACTCGGCGTTCGCGTGATGCAGGAGCTGCGGAGCCACTATAGGGAGCAGCCAACGATGAGCAGTGCAGCGAGAGGCGAGAGCGACAGGAGTGTGTAGCTAAGCGTAGCGCCGGAGAGCAGCAGCGCACGTCCCTGCCCTTTTTCTCTCTACTGCTCGGTCGCAGCTACAGCGGCCCAGTAGTAGAAGCACTAGCAGCAGCCATTTTCCGCGCTGGTGTGGCCAGCAGCGGGCTGCCGTGTTGTCGGTGCACGCTGCCTATGTACAACAACGTCGTCGCCACGGCCGCTGCCGCCGCCGACGCCTCGTAGTCGTCGTAGCGGTGCATGCAGCAGCGGGCAGCAGGCAGGCTGAAGGCTGCAGCCGGGCAGCAGCGCCTCGCCGACAGCTTGTGGCCGAAGCCCGAACAGCCGTCGCCGAGAGAACGATATGTGTACACTATACTCGCGCAACACTATCAACCACGGCCATTTAAATCTACGATCCGCACGACCAGTTCGTGTCTACTGCTGCTGCGGCCTGCCACGCGCACCGCCGTTGGATTCTCTCGGCCAACTGACTCCGCACTGCTCGCTCGCGTCGCGTCGGCATGGAAGGGAATGCCTCGGCCCGCCCCCAGCGACATCTATCGACATACCTAGCCAACTGATAACTACCAACGCCGGTGTCGTCTGCTAACTTATTACTCCGCTGTGTATAGCGCGGCGTGCTTGACTTTCCTTGCTTTATGTTTTAGTTTTATTTCTCCTCGTGAATCGCGCCTCCTACTGCTGTCTCGTGTTGTTGTTGTTGTGTACGTGTGTGTCTATATGTGCGTGTGCGTATGTATGTATCTTTCAATGGGGAGGGGGTGGCAGGTGTTTGCCAGCAAAAGCGCGCCCTCACGCACATGCCGATTGGTTTTTCATTCGATCTGCGCCAGATTTGTTTGCATGCCATTTTGATTTCCGCCGTACAACTCGCTCACCCGCGTTTTATTCGCATCCTCGGTAAATGGTTATTTTTTTCTTCACTTCACTGTCGATATGCACTCATACTATTTTCATCTTTTATTTTAGAGCTTATCCGAAAAACTGGAGTTCTTTCACGATTCATTTTTTGATCGTCGTTGATAAAAATAACATAAACAGCTTCTTGCGATACGTCATATTTAAAATTTGTATTACAGGAATGATATGAAATAATTAGTCTGATTTTCAGATAAGCATAAATACCGACTTTAAAATTTTTCGCATGCTACTGTACGGTGTTATAGATTGATGTAATAATTATATTACATCTGCACAGTAATTATCGATATTTTCTTTTGTGTAGAAAACTACAGAAGTGACAAAAAACGATAACGAATGTTTGAAGGTTTCATTTACTCGTAGTGAAAGACACTGCTTATTGAAAAACATCCGAATTAAATGTAATTTTTCAATTTATTGGAAAAGTTTTTAAAAATTATTGTTTATTTTCATTTTTTCAATCCTTAACTGATTCTCAACCGATGTAGTTTGTGACGAAGCCCTTCTCATATTTAAGCTTCCATCCCTTAAATTTCAGATGTTTTGACAACATAACTTTTCATTTTTCAGATTTACATGCAAACTTAATCTTTCAATTCTAAAAAGTAATTCTTTAATAAGCAATTGGTTCTACAGAACAGTAGTGAAAAATTATCTCTGCATATTTCTACTTGAAAAATACTATAGTTTACTCTGCAAATATAATATAGTATTTATGATTACGAACGCCTGCAAGTTATGTAATTTTCTCAAAATGGACTAGGTAAAAGTTTAATGTACTGTACAATTTTTATTACGACATTAAATATTGACTTTTATAACTCACAATTGGCACTTGGATATTTTGTTTTAAATATCACACGTTATATTTTGTATTAGTTATGATAGTTACAAACGTAAAAATGTATAAATAGTAATAATTACATTAATCAAGGGCGGTATTCAGTTAAGAACACAGTATTTCTTAAAAAGAAATTCCATTTGATATAACGAAAAACAATGTTTATTAAAATACAACCATCAAGTATAGAATCGGAAAAGTTGTTGAAGAACAATTTAATGCGCGCGCGCGCGCGTGTGTGTGTGCGTGGGTGTGTGTATATTATTGTTCATATATATATATATGAATAGGGAGATCAAGCAACATGCTGATTGAATCCGAGCAGCATAGCGGAAATGAGTTCTCCCTCGGCGAGCTCGGTCAGCTGGGCGCTTTTGCCAGGCAGCATCAGCAAGGCGTTTGCGTTCTTGCAGCTTAGCAATTTGCTACTAATTTGATTGCCGGTACTGTAGGCCTTTGGATATGGCTCGCCGTCCGACCACTCGAGAATCACTCTCGCGAATTCCGGCCTCGAGTCCAGCACGTACTTTGATGTTAGCTACACAACCATTGATCAGATATAAGTTTCAGACTTAACTACAAGTTTGTTACAATAAAAACTGTTCTTATCGTTCAAAACTCATTTTTCACGAAGACCTATAATAACATTATTTTCTAATTATTTCTCATTTATTATAACAAATTAATCAATAGTTTGCACAATTTTCCAATTTTTCTTAATTACGTTTAAATAATCCAATTTAAATTATCAACATTTACAGAAAAATTGTACTTATGAAATAAGGACTATAAAATTTCCCAAACAATATTACGGACTATAATTGTATATCGTTTTAGCTATTGTAATTGAAATATAAATTATTCGCAGTAAACTTCGTCGTATACTAATAATACAAATATAAAAGATTACCTTAGCTTTCACGACGATTGGTTTCGAGTTGTTTTTAGTTAAGTGGTTCAGTAACGGAAATACGAAGATATTCGCTGTAACCATTGCAGACACAGGATTACCAGGCAAACACAAAAAATATTTTTTTACTCCATTGTATTCGCAAGTAGCGTATGTCGTCGGCTTCCCTGGTTTTAAATTGACGCGACCTGTTTTTATTATAATTAATTAATATCAAACATTGAAAAAGATATTTACATGATACGATAATTCACTACCAAAGTGAATAGTAGCATTAAAAACTTCTTTTAGAATAGGTTTTAACATGTCTCTATCACCCATAGATACTGATCCTGTTGTGATAATTAAATCAACTTCTTGTAGAGCTTTTTCAATTGTATTAATCATCACCTTTTCTCTAAAATTATATTATTTTTTGAAGTTACAAATGTTATGCAATTATAAAAATTATATACTTACTGGTCGGTGGCTATTCCTAAATCAACAGCATTATATCCGTTTTCTTTCAACATCATTATCAGTGTAATTTTGTTGCTATCATAAACATGTCCTGGTTTTGGAACCTCACCGGCAATTTGCAATTCATTACCAGTGGACAGTACGCCAATTTTCGGAATGCACGTTACGGGAACTTGTGAAAATCCGCAAGCAGTTAAAATTCCCATTTCAATTGCTCCAATTCTTATTCCTTCTTTCAAAACTGCAATACCCTTTTTTATGTCACTGCCAATTGGCCTAGAAGTCATTAAATTATTATTTCGTTATCAAGAAATAACTAATTCAATAATATGAATAAGTTATTAATATATTTGCACCTTATATCTTGATTTTCTTTAGGATCTATGAGAATTTCAATTACTTTCTCTTCCTTTCCATCGGACCCTTTTTCCAGCAGCTTTGTGTCTTCAACTTGCACCACAGCTGTGGCTTCTTACATTGGAATTTAAAATATTGTAATTTAACTAATAACGTTGAATGATTTCAAAATTGTACTTACCATCTGGTACAGCAGCCCCCGTATTTATTCTTACACAAGTCCCAGGTACAACTTTCAAAACTCCTGGCTAAAAAGAATAGAAAAAAACTTTTTTAGTCTAAAAAATTATAAATAAATCAAGATTCCATTACTTCATAACTAAATTTTTTAATTAATTACATACTTCATGGCCAGCTTCCAAGCCACCTAAAACTTGCTTTCTGCCTTTACCATCTTTTGCAATAACAGCATATCCATCCTTGATTGATGCTCTGAATGGGGGTAAATTACATGGAGAATAAACTGTTTCAGCTAGAACTCTTCCAAAAGATTCCCAAATGTTTATTTTTTCAGTAGATATATTTTTAGGAACCGTTTCTTTTAAAATCTCCTGGGATTTTTCTATGCTAATCATTGGAAACGGTGACTCTCTCAGTCGACCAGCTACATCATCCAAATTTAGTGAAGTTTGGTCTTTTTTGTGTGGACAGCTGTGGTGATTATTACTTTGTTGAATATGATGATGAGTCTTTTTGACATTCTTTGTGTGATCTAATATCAAATCTACAGCATGCTGAATTACTTTTGCTACTGCACTTAAACATTCTGTTGCAGCTTTTGGTGACCCAGGTAGATTTATAATCAAAGTTTTACCACGAATACCGCACACAGCTCTGATTATTATTTGAAGCCATTATTTTTTTCTACTCATGTTTTATACATATAGAAAAATTTTAATACTACCTTGACAATGCTGCCATAGGTGTAATTTTCAAACTTTCTATCATCATGGTTAAAGAAATTCCAGGAGCTTCTTTATGAATGACCTTTTTTGTTGCTTCAGGAGTAACATCTCTGTTTGAAAAGCCAGTTCCACCAGTAGTCAAAATAACATTAACATCATCTTTGTCAGCCCATTGGACTAAGATTTTCTAAAATATAATTAATTTATAGAAAGTAATTTAATTTATGAACTTAGCAGAGTTTGTATTGTTTTTTATTTACCATAATAGCAAACTCCTCATCTGGTACTACAGCAGTACATTGTACTCGACTGTTTAGTATTTGGTTAATTTCAGTACTTGCATCTGTAAGTAAACTTACCAAAGCTGGGCCACTCTTGTCATTTAATTCATTTTGAGAACAACTATCGCTAACTAAGAAAATAATAAAAAATATTAAAACTAACCTCAATAAATTAAAATTTTCATGCTTTAAGTAAAATGTATAGTTGGAGTTGAAATACTTTTATGTATAACAAATAAAAAAAAATAAAATCTAGTCTTACTAAATAAATTAAAAATATCATCTTACCTGTTAAAACCCCAAACTTTATGGAAGACATTTTATAATTGACTGTTACCACTTCTGTTACATCAAATGTATACTATACTTTTTACAATATGCTGGAATCAATGTTTTCTTGTGTTATGAAATCTCTTCTATTTTCTTTTAGATTAGATAAGATTCTATATGTATATATACATAAAGAGGTGAAAATATAAGCAGGTATGAATAAATACACAGCAAAATTAAAATAATACGAAAACAATTTATTAATCAGTCATCAAGTGTTAAAATAACATAAAACAAGTGTTGGCAATTTTTAAAAAATTCACAGCACTCAAGTTATAAGTTCTGATTTTTTCAATCCTTATCACTTTCACAAGTCACCTAGTAATCAACTAATCCTCTGTAAAACAAAAAAAATATGTTTCTTGAAAGTATATGGATTTCCATAATAAAAAATAACCAAAGTGATTATTACCGATTAGCTTTAGGGCTAGAATGTCGTGGCGAAGTGCGATGTCGTCTTCGCGAATTGTGCCTGCTACTCCTTTCTCTGTCGGTACTTCTTCTTTCTCGCGTTCGTTCTCGGTCTCGGTCATCGTTGTGCTTTCTGTGTTCACGATCTCGCCTGTCTTTACGAGCAGATCCGCGTGAACTGTGATCTGGAGTTGGTGAACGAGATACGCTCGAACGAGATTCAGAACTGTGACCTTCATAACGATGTCGCCGCTCCCTTTGCCTGTTAAATCAATTTGATCGTTAATAATTTCACTAAAAATACGAGATAAATGTATACTATTCAGTACATACTTTCTGCGAAGTTTCAGAGACATTTCTCTTATTTCGTCCTCTCTGTCTTGTCTCTGCTGCTCAATCTTTTCCATGCGAGCTTGTTCGGCTTTCTTGTCCGCTTTATCTAACATTATTAAAAAAAAAAGTCAATGCCAATCTAAAATTTTCAAAAGTAGCAATATACACTTACATTGCCTATTCAATAAAGCTTGCATCTTCTTCTTAAGCCGCTCCTGCGGTGTAATTTTTGCATTCTGCAAAATTTAAGACTTATAGATATACATTGCAAAAATAAAAATGAATAAGTTTTTTATGATTGTTTTTTATACCACAAAATGTAAGCTCAAATAAAAATATATGTTGTGCACCAACAGTGCACCTTTTAAATGGAATGTAGATAAGCACGCATTATTCAGTAAAAATAAAAGTTGAAGCAATGAGCATTGTATGTGTAAAGGAGATTTGGTTGTGGGAATGACGATGTAACATGCAAAACCTCACGATTAATATAAATAAACGAGTATTTCTTGTAAATAAAGATCAATAGAGAAGGGAATATTTCATGGTTTTCTTTTGCATTGTGCATTAAGTGACTAATAAAGCGTTACGGTTCTTACTGACTTTGTGGCTGCCACCAGTATTTGTACTTAACCCTGCTTTTGGCTTGTTTCTAAAGAATAAATATTGGCATTTTAGTTGTTACTTTTTAATAATTTATCCTATTCTTAAAAAAAAAAATTATTACGTAATTAAAGTAGATGAAGATTTGGAGACAGATTGATTATTTTTTTCCTCACTGTCGGATAATTCTAATTCTAAACTTGAAGACTTTCCCCGTCTACCATAATACCTGAAGCAAAAATTTAATGATAAATTGAATGGTTTATATTGATTAGTTACAACGAAAAATTGTATTGTTTCGCAATTACCTTGGAACTGCCGGTGGTTTATTATCGGAGCTATTGGATCGTTTGCTGTTAGATCGGCTTCTGGATCTGGATTGGCTGCGACTTTGGCTGGGAGATCTTGATCTTGATCTAGACTCCGTTCTTGATTTGCCTCTGTCTCTGGATCTGGACCTTGACTTCGACCTTGATGACTTTGATCTTGACCTTGAAGGCGATTTTGACACCGTTTTCGCCCTTGATTTCGACCTCGACTTCGATTTGGAAAATTGCTGTTTCTTGATATCCCTGGGCTTGGATCTCGATCTAGATCTACTGGATGAGGAGGTTGTCGAAATCGAGCGCGATCTCGATCTCTTCGAGTGAGAGCGCGTGCGCGACCTCGACCTCGATTGCAACCGCGACCTTGACCGTGATCGTGACCAAGATTTACTGTAGGATCGTCTGCCGCGCGATCTTGACCTGGAATACGAACGGGACCAACGAGACCGACTTCGCGTCCTTGATCGTCGGTACTTTCTACTTCGTGACACATTTAGGTGTGATCTAAAACATTATTTAATGAATATTATATTGTATATTATGTCATGGAAATCGTAACATAATTATATTTGATTGTCAGAAAATTGGTAAAATAACATTCTAGTTACTATATTAAGTATTTTTTCAATTCAAGCAGTATTAACGAATTTACGTAAGCTTGTGAAAAACTTCTAAAATAAATTCTATTTCTGCCAATAAAGATTTGCAATTTGGAATAGTATAATATAAATGCATTAAAGAAGGCTTCTGTTACATCTAAAAATCTAATTATTTACCTAGAATAAGATGAACTTCTTCTGGAATCACGTCTGCGATACAATTTACTACGGGACCGCGAACGACTTCTCGACTTTTGTTTTGCGTTTTTTCTATTTGATAATCTATTATTTACAGATAAACTTCGTGACCTTCTCTTTTTGTGATTTAAAGAATTGACTTTCTTTGAAGCTAATGTTGCGTTGGAAGAACTACTTTGAGTCGCGACTTCTTCTTCACCACCAAAACTAGTTATATAAGTTATTTGGCCGGCATTAACTGGTGATGCAGAACGAGAGCGTGATCTGGAAGATGACTTTCTATATGGATTGTACTCCGGACTTTCTCGTGCAGCATAGCTGAAACCATTTCAAAAATAAATTTTAAGATATTGTGATTAGAATGCTTTACGTTTATAAAAAATACTAAATCAACATGCCATAACACATATCAAATATTTACCTTGGTGGACTCATGATTCTACCAATCATTTTTTTCTCTCTAAATGCTCGCCTTTCTCTTCGAGATCTTCTACCCTGTATATGATGAACAATTTATTATTTTGTATCATTTATTGTTTTTCATAATTCATCAACAAAATACATACTGAATACATTGCTTTTTCTTCTTCCTGTTTTCTTGCTTGGCGTAAATTTTCTGCTTCTTCAAAATCTTGAGTTAAAAAGCTAAAGTAATCAGCACCTAACAGTCCATATTTTTGAGCCACTTGATTCATTTCATGTGCCTGTGCAGGTTCAATCTGTGAAACATCAACACATATATCTAAATCTATATCACTATCATCGTCTTCTTTTTCTTCTGGTACACTAGAATCTGTTTTAGGAGCTTCTAAAATTGCTTCATCAGTTTCATAATTATAACCAATTGCAGCATTATTGCTAGATTTTTTTTTATCTTTATTAACTTCTAATTTTGTAGAAGAGCCATACTGTTCCTCTAAATGAATTTGATGTAGGAATTTTTCCTCTGGTACTATGGACAATTTTTATGTATTTAATTAATTCAATTCAATTAATTCAATATTTATGAATTAAATCGATTGTAACCTACCTCCAAGAAACTCATTTTGTACAATAATTCGATATCTTTCATAATTAATATGCCTATCCTCACTAGTTAATGGAATTTCAATGTCATTTTTATTATTGGCTTCTGGAATCCAATCAAGATGAGCTCTGACATCAAACCGATCTATCAGATTATCTTGATGACCTTGCCAAGGCATCCTACCAATTAAATTAACAATTATTATAAATACAAAATATGTTAAGTAAATTTTTAATTTCAATTAATGTATCAAGATATCAAACATTTACTAAAAAATAATGCAACTTACATATTAGCAGGGCTGTCTCCTGCTGCTGCAATTGCAGGATCTAAATGAATTTTACATGGTCTACCATGAAGTTGGAGAAACTGAGTTGGATCTGATTTCTATAAAAAAGTTGAAACATCATTATCATCCATGATGTATAGACTTAGATATTTAAAAATAATATATATTATATCTCATTTGTCATTGTCATTCTTAAAATGTAAATTTAGTTGAAATACAAAATTGGAAAAAATCTAGACAAAACAGTTTTATCTTGACTACAAAAGTGATGCAGTGAGATGTGAGATGTTTGATGACCACTCCCAACCCAAACAACTTTTATTTTTAAAAATAAATTGCGTATGTACTGATATTAAAAGAAGTATAAAGAAAATTTACAATCTTTTCGTAGTAATCTCGACGTCGTTCAGCACGTCGTCGATAATCCACGAGCATCCCACGTATTTTTTTCTCTTGCTTCCTCGCCTCATGCCACATTCTTCCACCAGTTTTTTTCACTGAATAACTCATTTTTCCTGTTTAAGAATTAGACAATGTTGACGTGGTGAATAATTATTCATTTAAAACGTCAATTACCACTTCGTCCAATGAAATTGAAAAGAAAAAATTGCTCAAAAGCGGTAAACCCACGTTGTATAGTCTCCTTCAACATTCGCCATATTGCTTTTTCTGAATGAACTAACTACTATATACCTATTAAGGCCGTGGAACACGCGTTAGTAATCTGCACTCTGCAGACTCTCAGATTGTATGTACACGCGCATACCGGACATTTTTCACGTAATTGCATGTATGAGTGCAGTTATTTACTGCAAAAATTTCTCGATGTATTTTATTTCTTTACAATTAACCATCTTATAAATGACATTAAATAAATATTAATGTTTCTATGTTAGATAATAATCTATTATAATATATATTATAATTATTTATAATTATAATGAATCAACAAAGCAGATAAAAGTTAAATGGATACTCTCTAATTATTTATTTATTGTAAGTATAATTATTAACAATTATAAATGTTTATCAACATTTTGAATAAGCGTTCTATATTACCGGCGGGATAAACATATATGTATATATACCGATTGACAGATTTCTTTGTTATAATTTCCCGCGTATTTTGGTAAGGAAAGAACCATAATTAACACAAAACGACACATAATGGCACAATGCAATTATAGTTGATTTTGTTAAATTTGGAATTTACTAAAGTTTGTAAAGCGACATAGTTTTAGTTAATCGATATCAGATATTATAGACGTAAAAGTGACCATTTTTTTTAGGTACGAGTATTCATCAATATCAGATTAAGATTACAGTCAAAAAATTGTTACTATAAATAGTTTTATAAAAATATGGATGAATCCAATTTTCCTGATCTGCTTCGTTTATATTACAATAGATTGTTTCCATATGTAGATTACTACAGATGGCTTAGTTATGGAGAAGGTAAGATTTATCAAAAAATTTTATAGTTGATAAATAGCCTCTCAATTATAATTATTTCAAATTTCAGGACTTATCTTTGCTCGCAGGGAATTTTCATTTACACTCAGAGATGACATTTATATTCGGTATCAATCATTCAAACAAATTGAGGATTTAAAAAGTGAAATTAAAAGGCTTTGTCCTTACAAAATAGATATTGGAGCTGTCTACAATGTTCCGTAAGGATTGAAAATCAATTGATATTTAATATTGCAAGAAAGGTCATTTATTGTCATTTTTCTTAATAATTAATAGACCATCAAACAGAAGGAGAGAGTTGAAATTTGAACCAATCCAAAGAGAACTTGTTTTTGATATTGATATGACTGATTATGACGAGGTCAGGACTTGTTGCAGTGGGGCAGATGTTTGTAATAAATGTTGGAAATATATGGTGGTAGCTGTAAGAATTTTGGATGTAGCACTTAGAGGTATGTGATTCTGTTTGTTTAATTAAGACTTTATTTGGTTTAAACAAAGTTTCAATCCAAATGCATAATAGAACTTTTGCCTAATGTTTAATAGATGACTTTGCTTTTGAGCATATATTATGGGTTTTTTCTGGAAGAAGAGGTATTCATGGTTGGATATGTGATAAACAAGCTCGTTTTTTAAGTGTTAATGGAAGAAAAGCTATAGCACATTATTTACAGTTAATTATGGGAGGAGAATTCGTTAAGAAAAAAGTAAAACTACCTAAGAAGATGCATCATTCTGTCAAGTATGTTCTCAACTAATTATTCAAAAGTTATGTTATATAACTTTTATATAAGTTATGTTTTATAAAAATTTATGAAGTTTTGTAACTGAGAAATGAAATTTTAGAAGAGCAGTTAGTATTATTGAACCAATTTTTGTCAATATGTGTGTTGAAGAACAAGGAATGCTAGACACAGAAGAAAGGGAAAACAAATTTTTAGGTATTATTCTTGAAGAAGATATGAGGAAAGAAGTCAAAGAAATATTTGATCAACATTTAACAGGTGTTAAAAAATGGAATGCTTTTGTGGACTTTTTCAAAAATCAAATTCAATCGGTTAGTAATTGTTTTTTCAGTTTTGAATGAATTATTAATTTAAAGGTATGAATAAATATATTTTTTGTTGATTACAGGGATCCAAAAAGTGGCGTAGAACTCCTTTTCTTATTGAAGAAATAATGATTCAATATGCTTATCCTAGATTAGATATAAATGTCACTAAAGGAATGAATCACTTGTTGAAATCACCTTTTTGTGTTCATCCCAAAACTGGCAAAGTTTGTATACCTATAAATCCTAAAGTGGTAGATCAGTTTGATGTCAACAATGTACCAACAATAATGACTTTGATTGATGAAGTTAATGCATTTGATGCTAAAGAACTTAATGACCAAGGAGAATCAATAGATAATGTGAAGAGGATAAAAGATTATAAGAAAACTAGTTTGAACAAACCTTTCCATGCTTTTCAAGAATTTTTAAGAGGTTTAGAGAATTCCCAAAAAGGTGAAAAAATGATAAAAAGTGGTAAGATAAATGATTACAGCTAATAAAAATTATTTTTTTGTAAGTAATAATTGTCATACCACATTTTTCAGATATAAAAATGGAGTTTTGATCCCAGTTTTAGAACCATAAATATTTTACTATTTATTTAAATTTTAGTACCTGTTCATTTATAATGAACTCAAATTTCTTATCGTTTTTGAATCAATATAATTGTATTTCTTAGTCGAAAAATTATTTTATTACAAGAAATGGCGATGATCCCCAAAAGAATATAGAAATTCACATTGATAGTAACTTATTTTATAAGAAAAGATTTCAGACTTGAGATAAGTTATGCAGTTATTCTAATTCTGTGTTAATACAAACACTGTGTTCCAAACAGTTTGTTATAACTATTTCAACTGTAACACAAATATCATTGAACAACCCATAATGCCTTTGCTGTTTATTTGGTAAGGTCCGTTTCGTATACATACTGATTTTTTGTGATTTGGATTGAACATAAAAGTTTTTTAATAGGGTTTGTTTAACATGGTGTTTTTCTGTAGAATATGAAAAATAAAATACTATTATCTTAAAAATATAAAATATCTGACATTACAACTCTTTACAAAAAAATTAATAAACGATTAATTGATGTAAAATATTCAACAGGTCATAATCATTTGATCATTTTCTAGTAAGGCGCGAGAATGTTAGACATATAATTAAAATATTTATTTATTCCTGTAGAAATCTTTTACATAGAATAGTTTAGGTAAATTATTTTTCAATCGAATTTTCTTCAGGAAGTTTACGTGTACAGTAGTTTTATGCTTTCTGTTCAATAAAATAAGTATTGTGTTAAACAAAATTTCAAAATTCGTGTGTAATAAAATTGTTTAAAATTGGTATTTGCAACGAACCCAATACAGTGTAAGATCAAAATCTCATCAGTAGATTCCATAAAAGGGTATTTAATTTTGATTGATTCGTCCTGATTTGCTTTTTGAATTAATATTTGTTAAAATGGAGATTTGATTTGCCGGTAAACATTTTATTATTGAATTTCAATGAGTATAGAGCAAAGTGACGTATTCAAGATCTATAGAAATTTCAAAAAATTGATACCGCATGAAAAACAGACAAGCGGACTTTGAAATGGTTCGAGTAGCTCTTTTTGCGCTCGGTAACAGATAACTGCAGTTACAAATGTTGCGGTTTCATCCCCGACTATCTATAACGAGTGAAAGTGAATTATTCATGTCTTGACAGATATATTTTTTCTGGTTGTATTTGCAATTGCTCTCAATGCCGCACCGACAAGCAGTGCTGAGCTCATATGTTACTTCTGTGTTGTTATTTTTGGAAAAACATGTACAAAAGTATGGGTAAGTCATATTCAAATCGTTGTTGTGAAATGTGTCGGGTAGTGTTTTAATGACTTGCTATAGTAATATATCGTTTCAAAATATTCAACAATACAACCTAAACAAACATACATACAAGCTTGGTGTGCTAAGATAACACATTATTCTTTCCGTTATACATGTATATACATTAGAATTGTTAAAAAAGCGTAATTTTCAAATTTCGTGGCGGCCAGCGGATCATTCGATAGCTTATAATTTTGCGAGCCATTGAGGATTTTTTCAAATTTTTAAAATAATATTTAATATGATCCTTCGCATTTTATGTTTTCATGGAAAAACTCACGTAAAAGTTGTGCCGCCCTTTGGAGTGTTAATTTTTTTTAATGAAATAATTATTTTAACTATAATTTCATAATATTATCCTTTCAAATAAAAGCGTAAAATTAGTCAAAATTTCCCATGTTGCTAATGCCTTTATAGTAATATTAAAATAAACGTTTATAAATATGATTACTTCTTCTTCATTCGCAAGTTCTTGCTCTAATATCACTTCAGCCCTTTATTCAATATCCATTAATATACTTCTAATTCATGGTAACGATTATTTACATAGTCGTGTTGTAATAAAAAATTCGCATCGGTAAACCACAATATGATTGATGTCAATAGATTATCTATGCACTTGTACATACGGGGTAACATTGTAGTCGTACTTTGTGTCGCGCGGTAAAAAGTCTCCAACTCGGGAAAATATCATTACGAAAAGCCACGTAACATTTGGCTAATGAATTTTTCATAGTAGCTCTTAAATCATTCAAGTTAGCTCGTAGCGTCTTCTCTTCATTAACTACTTCTTAGTTTTCTTTATTAATAACTATCCGAGCACGCTGAGGAATATGTAAATCAAAAACATTAATTACGGACTGACATTGTTCGATTGAGCGTCTTATTACTGGGTCTAAAATTAATCAACGACTGGGCATTGCTCTGAAAAGTCTGTGCTATTTAACTCGTAAAAATCTCTGTTCTTTAAGCACGTATAATCTTTTTGCCGATCGAAAAATTATAGATCTTATTCGGTAATTCGCGAATCCATTGTGCTATTCATTAAGTGCATGGCCAGCTACGAGATACACTATGCGAGCTGGACAAACAATACAAATTTTGTTCCGAAAGTATCTCGTGAATCTTCGTTAAATAGAGTTTGCCATTCCTACCCGTAGCATTACAGCTCAGCCGTTCGAGCAAAATAATCAAATATTTGATCTACGAATTATTTGAAAATCATTCAATCGATTCTTAATTCGTTTATATAGTTACTTAGCTGAAGCGACAGATTAATGATTTCTGTTGTCAAATATCCGATATTGTTGCCTATAAAATTTCTATAATAGTATTTGTATGCCTATTAAATATTCTTACAACAATGCAGCCGTATTAATTTGTTGAAATATCAGTTGTCTCATCAAAGAAAACAGAAAATTTATTAGTAAGTTCGATTTTTAAGTCCTGTTTATGGATAGTTGCTATGGTTTTCGCTACATTAGTGAATGTCGTACGTTTTATTTTTGCCGCTTTTAAAGCTTCAAAGCTTATACCGATATGTTGATTATAAAGTTTATCAGGTTGGGTCGAACCCACTTACATTCTGGCCGGTATTGTTATTCGCGCCTCCACTTATTCTTTCGTGGCCTCCTGTGATCATCGGTTTTTTGCTCATTGTCTTGTTACTGTTGATGATCTTACAATTGATTATTGTTTACGTCTTCTTCTTCCATTTCTTCTTCAAATAGTTTGTGCATACTTCTGAATGCGAAAACATGCAAACATGTGTTTTATGCGATATGAAGATTATTTATGAAGAGTCAATATCTTTTTACACTAAACTGTAATAGTAAACGTAACGCGATGGGATTTTTACAAAACTGTAATTTGATTTTCTGTGAATTACTTTTCATTGTTATTTTTTCAACAAATATACTCTTAAAAATCATATTTATAAAAAGCTAATAATCTTTGTTTATTCTGCAAACAGATAGATTAGACAAAAAATGAGGATTAGCTCCTCGGATGGTCAAGCAACTACCTGCACTACTCAGCGACGAAAGAACGGTGAGCGCGAGGACTAAACTCAAGTAACAACACATGTTCGACACATTTTTCTACTTTTACGTGACTTTTTACGCGTTAGTTGACAAAACTTTTTATTTTCCGAAATTGAACATTACTTTTGCAGTGGACATTGTTTTGAAAATTTTCAGTGATTTGCGAAGTTATAAGCTATCAAATGAGCTGGTCGTCACAAAATTCGAAAATGACGTTCTTTTGAACAGGTCTAATATACATGTTTACAGTTTTTCGACTTTGTATTGCGCTCGATAATATAGGATTAAGAACTCAGTGCGAGAAAATTCGTTGCCGGAGGAGATTTAGGCTTTAGGTGAGTCAGTGACATACGTTGCCTACATACTTTAATTATATACGCGTTGCATCCCACGCAATCACACCCTTTTCTTCGTATACTTACGTCGTAAATCTGTGGCTAAACGTGTGTGCGTGCGCCAATTTATTCTAATTTAATTTCTGTTTCTGCCGTTGTCATTTTTATTACGTGTTCAGCTTAATTACTTCGTTTATTTGTTATAGCAACGTGATTTACGTGATAGCAGGTATACCTATACCGTCTTTATTTACTTTATCAGCCAACCAATTGTTTTAATTGTAAATCTAATTATATGCACATAATGATATTTAGCCGATTTGAAAATATTTGATGAAAAAAAATCAATTATATTGCACGTATAAGCTTATGTCATTTCGTAACTATTTATACATACAATATTCTGAAAGCTATTAGTGAAATCTGAATGATTATGACAGTGAGAGCTAAATAATTAATCGATTAAACTCGTCGAAGTGAAACTTAGACTTTTTCAAACGCGTAATAGATACGGGAATAACCAATGTTTTATAATTCTTTTGAATTCGTTGTTTTTCTTTGTTTTGCTTATAACTGTAATATTATTATATTGTAATTAATATATTGTAATGTTATTTAAAGAGCTTTAATTGTATTGAATTCAAATAAAAATTTCAATTAATTCGATTCCATATAGCCATCATTCTGCTCACACAATTTTTTTACATGTCGTTGTGTATATTTTGATAGTTTCATATATTTATAGGATAATATACGTTAGTGCATTACGATGCCGTAAAGTAACGGAATTTCATTTTTGTATGATTTCCTCATCTTCATTTCTACTGGGGCGAAATGTTCATAAGATGGTGATATTTATTCCTTTATCGCGTTTGTTATGAGACCATTGAGTTAACTCCTAAAGCATAACACTGGATCACAAAACACGAAATTGCTCAGTAGATTTTTATATATTATACAGTTATATCTAAGTAGATTACTCTCTTTCAACAAATAGAAACAAAGAAATGCATGAAAATTTGTGTATTTTTTCATGCTATTGCATATTATCATGACAATAATATAAAATGTTTATAATGATGTAAATATATAGGTGGATTTACAAATCATTTGTTACTTTTATATCTGTAATGAAATATAAGAATATACATCATTTCTATTGTACGCAGATTACTTTACTCAAAGAGATAGCTGCAATATTAAGATATTTTTCAAGGACTTTTGTGATATATGCAACTCATATATTATACCAAATAACTACTAAAAACATTAATTATGTATTAATTGTTGAAATAATCTGTAAATACATTTAATATATTTTCAAAAAGTAATATATTTTTAGATCTTTTTAATTTTTTTATCTCTACTCACGTGTTGTTCATAAATTAACAATTTTTACAAATGAATTTAAATGCTACAATACGTGATAAAATGTATGATATGATTATATAATTTGAAGCATTTTACAAACTTTGAATATTAAATAATTAAATAATCGATTGGATTTCGGAATAAGTAAAACAATTATTTCATAGCTTTAAATATATAAATATAAAAAAAATTGTCAAATAATATTACTTCCTAAGATATTAATGTATAATCTTATTCATAATTTATATTATAAGCATCAAACTTTATTTTATTTTTTCGGTTAAGAATAAATGAATAAACCTACTTAAAATTGATTGTTTGCTAAGATCTTTTATAGTTGAAAATTGAAATTAATTTATTATTTTTGTACGAAATTTGATTTATTACTTGATATTTTGGTTAATATTAGCATATATATTTGTGACATTAATCAGTTACAGTTATTGCAATCGGAAAGTTAGTTTATTTGTGAAACATTTATATTTTATATATTATTTGAACTTCGCAATTTATCACATTGAAAATTGTTATTTTATCCATCTTTACAACTACAATTATCCAAGATGATTATTCTGTATTATTGTTAATCACTTTTACTATTTCGAAAAAAAAATTGAGATATTTTCAGTTGACAAAATCAGATTATTGGTTAATAATAATGAATAATTAGCATATTAGCAATTCCGAAACATAAATTCGTATTTTTTCGAAACGATTTCGCGATATCGATTTTGCGCGCCTAATCGAATCAGCGACACATACATACATATATATACATGATACATTGTACCACGTGACTATCTTTCAACCAATCACATATCACGTATAAACTGTCGATCTTCGCTTTTCAGTTCACGGGTTCTCAGATAACAAAATATCGGAACTTTGCCGTCATAATTCACAATGCGCGTCCATATGACTCCCAGGTGTATCCGCATACTAACGTCACATTGCGAGCATTATGCATGCATTCTGACCTATTCTGACAGTACATTCTGATGCGTATGAAAATCATCGTTTGCCTCGATGTGCGAAAGTTATGCCGTCATGTGCCTCCATATTCTGCAGCACGGAATGCTTGCACGGTGTAGGCATTGTGACTATTTTTAATAATTTAAATATTGGTTTTTAAGGTTAGGTTGGGTTAAATAAAAATATAATTATTTAAATTGACGATTTCTTTATTAAAAAATAAATAATTATTAAAATACATATAATTAATGCATAATAAAATATAATATAATAATTAGTAACTATACTGTTCTATACTGCTGCAATCGCTAGCAGAGATTTTACAACCCTCAATTAGCACTCGAACAGGCCGTGGTAAAATCTGGGAAAAACCTAACAACTGTCACCAGGCGCATGACAGACAAGGCGCACACCGGAGCTATAAAAACCGGGATTAGTCGCTGGTGTCGCCAGCTAGCCGAGGGCGAGAGAGAGCGGAGTGTCCGTGCGAACTACGATGAGGGGTTGCTATGCACCATCCTCCCAAACCACCCCTAAAGGATTGGTCCTTTTTAATGAGGCCCTAACACAAGAGGAGGAATATCCGCGCTCCCGGTGCCACGAAAATATAGTCTTGGGAAGATAAACAAGGTTGTTTCGCTCTCTCTACGTCTGTGTTTCAACCCTCCTGAAAATATAGGTTGAGTTTTTTCATAAGAACTCGGGTAAGAAATTACACATGAAATTAGATAAGAACGTATGTAAGTTCTTGCAGAAGCTCTTACGGGCGTATTTCGACTCAGGTGCGTTTTTAAGATTCATGTAGACAAACATTTCAATATTTACCGACTCATCGCTATAAAGAAATATAAACAGTTATGTATATGAATAATAGTAAAATATGAACAATAGTTTGGATCATTTTATTTTCAAATATAATTGAAAGATACAGAGTGTAATATGTATATATATATCACAAAATAATTTTTTAAAACTAAGGCTTACACATCTTTTCAAACTAATTATTTACGACTGGAAATGAGAGAATATAATCATAAAACACATAAAGAAATTAGCTTACATAATATGTGACACCATTTCAAATGATAAATAATATAATGTAAAATACAATATGAATACATACATTAAAATACGCGACAATCGTTAGTAATAAAATTGATTTGGCAATGGACATATGTATGAATTTTCATTAACTGACATGTGTATACAAATATTATGAATACATTCTGTTTCGATTGTATCGATTTTTTTTCAATGTCAACAATTCTACGTAATTGTTGGTAATTATTACTGAAGGTATGTATGATAATATTAATTAAATGAAATATTGTTAGTTCTTTACCGTCAATGGGGTCAACAATAAACTAGTTTATTTTAATAAATCTTTCATCCTAGAGTTGGGCGAAAGAGTTGTTAGATCTTAAGTTTATTTTAAGACAAGATGACAGCTATCTTTTATCATTCGTTTATAACTTATACTCGTGCTCGCTAAAACAAATTGATTAATAATATTATCATCTAGCTTACAACCTTTGCCAAAATATGTAATTTTATCGAGCTAAATACTTTGTCTTGCTTGAGATCTTAATTTATAATTTAGTTATCTCTGTGCAGCATCAGATGCATTAACAAAAACAGCTTTTTCCAAAATATTTATACTTCTATTGGTATTAATATGCCTTACAATTTGCAAGCTTACACCACGTGTACAATGCATTGCTTGTAATAAATCATGGTTATCGGCTTGCAGAATGCAAAATAACTCCACAATGGGCCTCGGTTTAAAACGCATCCGGCTATTTGTAGAAGCAAATATACTATTTGTGAGAGCAATGAGATTTGACATACCTGAACACGATAAATGATTACTTTTACGAAATCTCATAATCATTACCAGGGCTATCGGTTATGGTGCTAGTAATAATTTGGTAAAAATTTTTCAAATTAAGTAATCTTTCAAACGATGGGACTTTTTCTGTAGACGTTATACGTATTTCATCGTCATCTGGATTCAAAATATTTGTCGTGTTATTACTTTCTTCTTCTATGAGTTCTTCAGAATTCGAGTGAACCTGTAAATTGAAATTTAATTACAAATATTATGGTTCATTTATAATATTCCTCTTTTATTCCCATTCAATAAACATACGCACGTGTATATATAAAGTGGTTTTAATTCTGTTGGTGACATACTAAATAACTGATGTGCGCGCGCGTGCGTGGGTGTCTGTGTGTACTCACAAACGATCCATGGACCCTCCCCGCACTAAGCCGGACCACCTCTTAGTCATAGTAAAAGTCCCTGAATATAAAAACACGGACCCCATCTCCTCCTTCAAAATCGACTGGCTATCTCCCCCATACCACTTAGAAAACTCCAACTTCAAATGTCAGGCCATCATTTCCAAATCCGACCTTGAAGCAGCCTTAACAGCAATAACCAACGAAATCCAAGATAATATCTATATTGGAAACTATATCTGGAAATGATAAAGAAGACAACGAATTGTATAGGAGAAATAATCGAAATGGAGGACAAAAGATTACCAAAAATATGTTTAAAAGAGGAAATTAGAGGGCTATTGAACAATACAACAAAATGGGGGAAGGAGTTGTTAGAATCGGCTACAAAAGCAGGAAACGGTAAGTTAAAGATACTCATAGAAAATGAATTAGAAAAAGGGAAACTACTGGAAACTTCTGGGAAAACTTTGATAATAAGAACAGAACAAGACATTGAAACAAGATGGAGCAGGATAGATGAGTCAAAATACTGGAAGCACTATAAGAAATGGAAACCAGCTTTAGGGAGAGAGAAATACTGGAATGAAAGAGGTGAAGAGGGTCATCTGAAAGAGGAATGGCCAAGAATAAGGTGTGGGATCATAGGAATGGAGGGAAACAAAGGTTACAACAATCAAGATTGCAGAATTTGTGGAGAAGAGAATGAGGATCTACAGCACATCTGGATATACGAAGCAGTGAGGAAGATTATTAAAAAAGAATTGATAAAGACGGTGGATGGCTGGAGGGGCGATAGTAGGGGAGAGGAATTAATCAGAAAACTGGGAAGAGTATTGGAAGGGAAGATGGAAGAAGGAGCATGCGAATATGCCAGGGCATTCGAAAAAATAATAGAAAGAAACAAGAAAAATAAGGCTAAGAAAATAAGGAGGAGGGGGGGGGGGGGGAATTAGGAGGTTAGCAGCGACTGTAGGTTCGAAAATCAGAGAACGAGGGAAGCTGTGATAAGAAAGAATAAAAGGAAAATTGGAGCGACAGAATAAGGAACGAGAAAGAAGAAGAGGGAAGAAGAAACGAGGACCAAAGAATGACATTAATCCTAGACCGTGGAAAAATTATGTACGTTGTTAGAACAATTTATGTAAAGGGGAAGTATTATATGAAGGGGGTAAAGTAAGCAACTTATGTATTCTTGGCAGGAAATAAATTATTATTATTATTATAGCTTTTCAGAGGCCCAGATAAAAAATAACAACAAAAAATCAATATCTATACCAATAAATTATTAAAAAACATGGAACTCACAATACTGATTTAAAATTTTTAATGTTTTGGAAGTTTGCATGATGAAGCGCGTGTAGTAGAAAATAAATTGGTCGAATTTCAAGCTGCCGCGTATCAAAAGAATTGAATGGCCCCAATGGTCTGCTCTGCGAATAAGAGCTTTAATTTAATATGTCCATCTGTAAAAAATAATAAAGCCAGAATACCTATGCTACGAATGCCTAATTATTTATATATGTAAATTCAATTGTTATAAATTATTTTCAAATAAGTGAATTGAAAAAGATAGTCACTATCACTTTTATTTAAAAAAGTCATGTTCTGAGCTCATTGAATAAATAATTCGATGGACTATAAAGCTCCTGGAATCATCTTTTTGGAGCTTAAGACTGGTTAATAGTTTGGTTTTATTCAGTTAAAACGTGATTAATTTAATTAATTTGTTCAGTTTAATTAAAGTTTAATCTGAACATTATATTTTTCTTAACTTAAATTATTATTTACTTATTCCTAATAAAAATATATTTTCAAACATTAGAAACAAAGTTATTAGCACTTACAATTTTGCAGAATTCTTGATGATGATCTCGATTTTCTCGTATAAGGTATAATTACTGCTCACTTTTCATGTACACAACACTATTTTAGGAATTGTCTTGTCAAAATATCAATTGTCCACCGAAAAAATGTTACTTGTTGGCTATTTTAAACAAAAGACGATTTGCGGTGTAGCATGTAATTGTGACGGTACCTATCTAGGCAGGGTTCTTTGTACCAGCATTTTGCGTGCATTTTGACGCCATGGCGTGACGTGCCAGACCGTGCATGCATGCTGTGATGCCGCCACAGTGTTGTCTGGGTGCTAGATCGTGCCGGCACGCTGTGTTATCTGGGTGGGTACGTATTTGTTTAGAAAGATAAATGCGACACACACACGGGTGCACATATAAGGAAATAAACCATGAACAACGCATCCGTATATTTTTTGAATAGTGCATTGCATTGCAAAAATATAGTTATTTAATAAGATACTATCAATACTAACTGTACTACAAATATACTAAGTTACATTTCTGATTAATTTTTGGTTTTAACATTGGTTTTAATTTTTGGTTTTAACATTGGTTTTAACATTTACAGAATAATTCCAATAATTCATGACTATATGCAGTTGTAAATCATCCTGAACGCAAAGAGAATTATAACGGTGAACATTATAAATTAAATTAAAATATAAATTTGAAAAATGATTAGTTCTGAGCGTGGTATGTATGATTACGAGGATATATTTAAGTTGTGTAATTTGGCATTTATTCAACATCTTGATCTCGACAATGAAATGCTGGAATACGAATATACCAATCAGCATATACCACAATTGGCGAATAAAATACGGATGATCTTTTCAACAGGTTTCAAGTGAATTTTTGGATTAATTGATTTTATTTAAAAACCGAGTCTGCTGAATGACATTAACATTTAGATAAAGTCTTCAGGGTAAAATAATATATTTCTCACAAAATGGAGTAAGGTATGCAACAGCTCATTGTCAATGAATATAAGCCTTAAGCTTTGTAGAACACTTCACAAAGAGGAACTCTCGCTCACTGTTTTATGTGTGTGTGTGTGTGTGTATATATATATATATATATATATATACACACATACACTTCGAACAAGATAATACTACTTGATCACTTGAACATAAGTTGTGGGTCTGCATTAGTATAAAAACGAATATAGCTTGTTCGTTGGTATAAAAATTAGTTGTAGTGAATAAGTTACCTCTATTTTGTATCGAAATATTATTTTTCTAAAAACATGTAAATACATTTGTAGCTGAGCTTAAGAATAATAACTCCAATTTCTTTTACAGTGATTTTTGTTCCAGAAATCTACATACAGACGGACCCACGGGCACACACACACGCACGCGCGTGAGTATATTCACACAGTTTCTTTGTATAATTTGCCGTTAACACTCCATAGTAAAGATATGGAGGCCTTTGCTCGAGCTCCGGAAGAATTGCCTGATAAGCAGCCTATGAATAAAACTTGGAGAATGTGGAAACAACAGTTTGTTATATTTTTGAAAACTGCCAAACTAGAAGAAAAAAGCAGCGAAGCAAAGGCCAATTTATTGTTGAATACAATTGGAAAATTGGGAATTGAAGCAATGCAAGAATTTCCAGATGTTGATCTCGATAATTATGACGCCATATTGCAAAAACTTGATGAGATTTTTGATCCACCGAAGAGAGAGATCGAAGAGCGTTATAAATTCTTTACAAGGTCCAAGAAAAATAATGAATCAATTGAAGCTTACATTAGTGATTTGGAAGAGAAATCTAAAACTTGTAATTTCGAAAATTTAACTTCAAGTTTGATTAGGGATATGATTGTATTGAATATCAAGGATGAGAATATGAGGAAACTGTTCTTTGTAAAAGAAAATTTAGACTTGAATAATCTAGCATTATTTTACAAACAATGTGAAGTTCAAGCGGAAAAAATTAAAGAAATATCAAAGAATTCACAGCCTGAAACTTCTGATAATAAAATCAAACACGTTTGCTGGAGATGTGGAATAACACATGCAATAAGAAATTGCCCTGCGTTCAATATCACTTGTGAAAAATGTAATGAAAAGGGACATTTCACTCAGAGATGTGGTAATAAAATTCGAACCAGTAACAATCCTTGCCATGCAAATCTAAAAAAAATTGTAAGTATAAAATACAAATTAGTATAATAATACGTCATGTTCAATAAGTATAATTTTATTTTTTAGATTAACAAAACTAAGACTATTAATATTAAAAGTCCACTCAATGTAATTAAAAAAAAATAAGCTCAAGAAGTGAATGGTATTATGATTTATCAGTAATGCATACGTTGAATCAATATTAATTGGGTTGTATTGATATGTAATTTTAAAAAATGGAAGATTTTTCAATATATAAGGTCAAATATGTAGTTCGTTTTATATACGTTTCTTAGAATCCGCATAATTTTATTACAGAAAAATGTATTTATTTACATTATTTTGCATTCTAGCTTTATCATCCAACTCGTGTAAGATAATAATATTTACTAAAAAGTGAAATATTACCAGAAAAAATGATTTTTTGTACTGTAAGTTATTAAAAACTAAATCAAACGTAATATTCAATGACTCGCTGTAATATCCATTACATATAATAAGTTAAAATAAAAATTATGTATGTCCATTTTTGAAAATTTCGAAAAAGTTTTAATACTCGAAGTGGATTTTAAGTCTAAAGAAACTCGAACTCGGCCGAGCTGTAGTTACAGCCAAGCGAGTTTGCTGATTTTTTGTAACAATCTACTTTTTGATCAAATGCTATTACACATTCTATGAAAGTCACTACATAAAAATATACACTTGAAAAAATTGTGTTGAATCAAATTACGATTAATCTGAAGTAAACCGCAGTAACTGCATAATAGTATGTAAATTGAAACTTAAAACAATGAAAGAAGTTATAAATATATATTTGCTGTAATAAGTTATAAAAATTATTAATCTTCATTGAATCAAATTAAATAAAAGTATTTTCTTTTCACACGAATTTCAAAAATGTCATGACTTATTTTTCCAGTATTTCCGGAATGATTAAAATTATGCATGTCAAAAAAGAAGTATATATTGGTATACTTATATATATATATAAATATACCAATATATATATATATATATATATATATATATATATATATATATATATATATATATATAATTGGTTACTTAAAATTAGAAATTTTCTTAATTATCATAACAATTATTTATTAGAAAAAAATTAAATATATTGATTCCCTTTTAATATATATATATATATATATATATATATATATATATATATATATATATATATATATATATATATATATATTCTAAATATACTTTAAATAAAATGAAATTAAAAGTTTCAATATGAAAAATAATCTATATCAATTGTCATATCTATATAAATTGAGTAATAAATATGATTATAAGTATATCATACAGAAACTGAATTATACGTATAACCAACGAACATTTAGATTGAATATCACTCACTAGCTCCCAATAGGTAGAATTTTCTTTGATATCGGTTATGCGTACTTGGACGTTGCGCGGTACATTATGCGTCGTCGTGTCCGTCACAAAACTAATTAACATTGATCAGTTACTTCATTGACAATATTGACATTCTCCATGTGACGGACAGATCTATGCACAATGTACTGCGCAACGTCTAAGGCCCTCGCCATATATGCGCATATGCGCGCGTACGAGGGCGTACAAACGCGTACAAATCGCTAAAAATTTTGATAAAATAATATTTATCATATCATAAAGTATGATCACATTTAAATATACAATAATAATAAATAAACAGAATTTTTTTATAAATAATCAGCTTCGCTTGATAATTAATTTTAAGCGGGCCGCATTACAGAAATTTAATATTAACGAAAAACAAAAATTGTCTAGATAAGTTACTTATATATGGTTCTAAGTATGTATGAATGTATAATTTTATGAGATGTAATAAATTTTTATTTTCATGTAATTTCTAGTTCGTTAAAATTAAATTTCTATGATGTGATACGTCTTAATTTATATATGCAAAAATAATTTATTGGAAAACTGTTATTTAAAGTGAATTATTTTTTATATTTTATTGACGCAACGTCGAACTAAATTTCATAACAGTTTACTATTTTCGACAAAACTATTTTAAAATATTTAAAACGAAATTCCATTTATTCTGAATACTTATATAACATATATAAATTTTAACAAACAACAGTAATTGTTTAAAAGTGAAAATTCATTAACCAGTACTGGAACGGTAATCGATTAAAGATATCGATTCGTTGGCAATTCGGTAGCATTCGAGGCGCGCGAGCTAGCGATTTGGAAAGAGAGGGGAAGCGCGCAAGAAGTATCGGCAGTATTGATTGAACCGGCAAGCGAGACAGGTGTTAGAATTTAAAAGTGTGCTAGTGGGGAAAATCATAGAGAGGCATTGTGAGCACTTTGTAGGCGAGTGGTGTGCAGTTCTTGGAACCATTATTGCACCGGCAGCAACCAGCAGCAACTAGCAGCAATACTGGCTGACAGCAACCAGCACGCAGCAGCAACAGAAGTAGCTACCCCTGTGTAGACCAAGAGCTCCCAGTTGTCCATCAATTCATTAACGGTTCCGGCTGATTACCGTAACTGCGATACACGGTAGGTGCACCTAACTAATGCGTGAGTTGTAACTACACGCATACTATAATAGTGCACAAGATGGTGAGAGAATGTAAACACGCAAATAGTATAACGTTATTTTATTGTGTCGTGTACAATGTTTGTAAGACTTTTTATGTTTAAAATAAAATGATACAATATATATTTATCAATAAAATGCGTATACTCTGTTTTTTACCATTAATACCATAATTGTTGTTTTCAATATATTATTAACAATCAATGTTTTTGAAAATCCCACGTGGGTTATTGGGTTATTGATCGATTGCAACGTGGGATCGCACGTGGGTATTCCCAACCTGGTGAACATTCTAATAAGTTTCTGCTGGTACTCGCCTCCTAAAAGAAAATCTGTAGAACATAAAAGTATTTTCTTCTTACATTTTGCTCTACAAAATTGTAAGATAATTATATTAATTTTAATTCTACAAATGGGAATCTGATGACCAATTTATTGTAATATAATCAGCAGTATCCTTTTGATTTTCTTGAACGACCTACTAACTGTATAATTCTATTATTTATTAGTCTTTGAGAAGATACGCACATTTAAATTTTTTATAAATTGAACTTTCTATCAAAATATAAACATACTTATGTCGTGTAACGTGATGTATGACAATCCTATCCTGTCCTTTTCCTCTTATATTATATTATTATTTTGATTATTTTATTTTCTGTTCCTATTTAAAAAAAAGGACGAGTCGCCGATATCTAGCGTTGTGATTGATTAATGCTAAAAAAAGAGCATGTAACAATGAGATTCGATATCTCGCGCTACAGTTACTGAGCGGTCTCTCGCGCCAATTGATGGTCACCATGCGCGCCAAGTTTTCCCCCCAAAATCGGTTATAAGAGCACCTAATGCGCTGTGCGGGAATTTAAAAGCGAGCGCAGCCTCGCGGTTAGAACACTCCTGGCTAGAACATACCTGGACTCTGTCTCTGACAACAACGTTGCTTGTTGAGTTTGGCTTACAGAAAATTCACGAACGAGAGAGTAACTCCGAGGCCTACCAGCATGTTCATCCTCTAATTGACTAACTACTTACAACGGACCTTGGCTATACATGTGGTTTTCATAAAGATAAGATAGAGTTCGTCCATTTCACTTGGGGATATGACAAGTTGGTGCACCAAAAGGAAGTTATCGTTCGATGATGCTCATAAAATTGTCAAACGCCGCTTTGATATTGATATTGATCGATATAACATAAAAATCTTAGCTGTTTCATGAAAGGCTTTTAACGTGAAAATTAATTAATTCGTGATTGCCGTTTTGCTTGAGTCGTTTACTGTGTAGAGTGTGTGTGTTGAATTTGCGAACGTGATCACGTGAACTGAAAAATTATGTTGAATAAAGATTAACCGTTAATAGTTCAAATTTATCTTTTTCCGTTATTTCCATGATCTTATGCATTAGTTTTTAGTTGTTATTGCTTTCTTGTCCTTGTTCTACTGACATTTAAATTTCGTGTTTACGCTTGCTCTTTAAATCTAATCACGCAAAATATTTACTTGACATCTTATCTTATAAACTAAGTCCATTTAAATATTTTACAAGCGTGAAATTTTGAATTTTCATATACTTTGAAATATTTTTATTATACATTCAGGAGTGTAAGATTTATATTTCAGCAGTGCATTCAATTTATGAATAATTAACACGAATCATAATCTACAAAAATGGAAATATGCTGTTAGTAAATCGTTTTATTTGATAATCAAACGAACTTACTTGTATGTGAAGTTCGATTCTAATTATATTATATCTGGTTCGGATATAACTATGTAGTTCGGCTCTCAGCCGCGAGATGTCACAACTCTTCAGCGTTTCGTTTCGTTTCGTTTTAATGACTGTGGGTACCTGAGGACTCCGATGCGCCACAAACAACTCTTCAGCACAACGTAAAAAATTGCTTTGGGAATGCATGTGCGCCCGTCCGTTCGCCCTCCTGCACAGCCGGACTGCCATCTAAGCTTCATATCTTTAACGCGATTGTATAATTTATAGAATGAGGTGGGTAATAAATGACATTCAACGGGTGGGATCTAATATCTTCGAACTAGATATAATATAATTAGAAGCGAACTTCACATACAGGTAAGTTAGTTTGATTATCAAATTATATTACATCTAGTTCTCGATATTACTATGTAGTTTTAGTTTTTTTGTGATTTACTACGTCCCTAGACATTTTAAAACTAAGCGTAAAAAAAAGTTAAATTCCTTTATTTTTTTAATGCGCTAAAAAACCGAAAAAAAAATTTTTCTCTATTTCTTTATTTTGACTTTATTTTCGTATTCTTGGACACAAAATGAAACTTTTTTCTCTTTGGCATTTTTTCCAAAACGTACGCAAGTCGAAGTAATTGAGGATTGGAAAAAAAGGTTGCTTTTTACAAAAAACGCCGTAACTCGGTTAAAAAACATCGGATAGAATCCCGCGGGAGCTCATTTTAAAGGGAAAGACATTACCCTCCGAACCTCTCAAGTCGATTTGCCCTCCACCGCCTGGTTCTAAATTGGCATTGATTTAAGTCGAGGTTAAAAAAATTGAAATTTTTTTAATCAGTTTTTTTACTGTAAAAAACACATATTTTTATTTTTAAGTCTCTGCACGTCTTAAATGGAAGCTTTTGCAATTACCTTTAAAATGCCCTGCGGTTTTTTGTGATACGATGATTTCCGACCGTGATACAAAACTTTCAAGTTTGCCTAATTTTGAGGTAAGCATGGCAAAAGTGATTGACGGGCAGTGTATGTTATCAGTACAAATTGTTAATTTTATGACCATGTATGATACTGAAATTAATATTGGCGTGTAAAATTTGGTAGAAAGAATATGAATATTATAAAATAGAAGAGAATACAGTTTTATTTTTTGTACATTGTAAATGAAGAAGTATGCGAGAAAATGGATCTATAATTATTAGAATATTAAACCAATTCAATTTGTAGAATATTCATGAGTGCTTTCACAGAGGCAAAAAGTAGAGGATGTTAAATGTATTACTATTATTAATGTTAGTTTAGTGTTGTATAATTGTGTTATAGCTTTATCAATCGTTGTTCGAATTAATCTATTGGATAATTATTTCGATATAACTTGAAATCGGTAAAAGTTCATCGGCTTTTGTTAAAAAATGGGTGCAAGTGCTATTTTTATTCATCAATGACTATTAATGTATGTATTCTATTTTGAACAACATAACTTACTTATAAAGCGACACTAGGAAGAAGGGCACTTCTCGAGATATGCCCTTTTTCGATATCGTAGCTTTTTGAAATCTACTTACTTGCTACTATATACTTATAAAATAATATTT